GAGTACGGGAAGACCACGCGGATTTTAAAATTTATGAAATCCTTGAAATCCTTGAAAAATCAAATCCCGGGATTTGATTTTTCAAGGATTTCATGAAATTTAAAATGCCCAAAAAATCCTTGAAATCCTTAAAAAAATCAAATCCCGGGATTTAATATTTTAAGGATTTCAAGGATTTTTTGGGCATTTTAAATTTCATGAAATCCTTGAAAAACTAAATCCCGGGATTTAATTTTTCAAGGATTTCAAGGATTTCATAAAATTTAAATACCGGAACTCCTGCAAAAGCAAACCCCCCCCTCCCCACTCAGAGTACGGGAAGACCACGCGGATTTTAAAATTTATGAAATCCTTGAAATCCTTGAAAAACCAAATCCCGGGATTTAATTTGTCAAGGATTTCAGAAAATTTAAAATGCCCAAAAAATCCTTGAAATCCTTAAAATATTAAATCCCGGGATTTGATTTTTTAAGGATTTCAAGGATTTTTCGGGCATTTTAAATTTCATGAAATCCTTGAAAAATCAAATCCCGGGATTTAATTTTTCAAGGATTTCAAGGATTTCATAAAATTTAAATACCGGAACTCCTGCAAAAGCAAACCCCCCCTCCCCACTCAGAGTACGGGAAGACCACGCGGATTTTAAAATTTATGAAATCCTTGAAATCCTTGAAAAATCAAATCCCGGGATTTAATTTTTCAAGGATTTCATAAAATTTAAAATGCCCAAAAAATCCTTGAAATCCTTAAAATATTAAATCCCGGGATTTGATTTTTTTAAGGATTTCAAGGGTTTTTTGGGCATTTTCAATTTCATGAAATCCTTGAAAAATCAAATCCCGGGATTTAATTTTTCAAGGATTTCAAGGATTTCATAAATTTTAAAATCCGCGTGGTCTTCCCCGTACTCTGAGTGGGGAGGGGGGCGGTTTGCTTTTGCAGGAGTTCCGGTATTTAAATTTTATGAAATCCTTGAAATCCTTGAAAAATTAAATCCCGGGATTTGATTTTTCAAGGATTTCATAAAATTTAAAATGCCCAAAAAATCCTTGAAATCCTTAAAAAATCAAATCCCGGGATGTAATATTTTAAGGATTTCAAGGATTGTTTGGGCATTTTAAATTTCATGAAATCCTTGAAAATCAAATCTAGGGATTTCCCCGGCGGCAAAAGAGGCGTGCCAAATAGACCCTAAAGGTCCTACGTACATATATATATGTATATATATATATATATGTATATATATGTATATATATGTATATATATGTATATATATGTATATATATATATATGTACATGCATATATCTACCCAATCGAATAGAATATTATGTAGTATAACGAATCTGATGTAATAAAGTATGCATATGCAGATCATAACACATAATGGCAACTGCCTTTTTCAGCTTTGATACCCAACAAACCGTCTGCTTTACCCAGCCAACAGCCAACCGTGTGAGTCTGCTTCACAGTCAAACTCATTAAACGAAACAATCTCATCTGCACCTTCTGTTTCTTCGTTTTCGCAGGTTGGAAAGTGTGTCAGAAACATTGCAAGACCCATTTTTCCAGATAATTGGAGCTGTAGACTGAACCTTGGCAATCTTTGGGAAAGTTTCCGTTGAAGCTTCAATTGCCGATTCTCTTGAAAGTACTAGTGAACTAGATAGCGCAATCAGAAGACTGAAAACTCCTGTGAAAACTTTGTCAACTCTTCAACTTCGAGCAGAACTTGAGATCGGGGCCACGAAAGCTAGAAACGCGGCTGACAAGCAAGCTTTTTTCGAGTCAGGCAGGAGAAGTGCGGGCGCAGCAACAACGCTGCAAACTCTGAACTGTAAGCAAAACGAAACATGCTGGGACACGCAGCGGTCGCACTAAGAGCTGTCGGAAGCTGCGGATTCGAATGCTCATCCCGGGGCCTTACAGCTCGACAGCAGGGCCTGACCAAGACGGAGGGGAAGCCTGAAAAGGAGGGGGGGGGGGGGGGAAAAGGGGCCCCCCCCCTCCCCAGAAATCAATTAAGGCGACCCTGAAAGGAGGGGGGGGGGGGGACACCTTAAGATTGATTTTGTCAATCCTATACGGGGGGGGAGGGGGGGCCCCCCCCGCCCTCCACAGCCCTTTATCTCTTTGATTTTCATACCACTTAAGGGTCGGAGTCGCTTCTTGACCCAGCTGAACACTAGAGAGAATTCTTGTAAACGACAATTCTCGCGAGCTCCAAGGAGCTAGCTTTCGTGAAAAATGAAGTAGCAGACATAGTGAAGTAGTGTTTGAAACGCTCCGGTAACGGAGATTGAAGATTGCACGAAAACTGTCTCACGGGGATCTTTCTATTGTCTATGCAACTGTTTAAGGTTTTGGAGGTGCTTGGGCAACGTGCAACTGCGAGGTCTTCGTGGTTTGGGTGTTGGGGGATTATGGGGCTTTGGGATTTGGGGGTTAAGGGACTTGTGCAGCAATTAAAGGTCTGAAGTTGTGTTCGTACCGGAGCTTACGGCCTTCTGGTCGGTAAGCCTGCACTCGGAACCCTTGACCCGGTGGTATGTAATCATAAAACTCGATTTGTATCCATCTGCTACGTCTAATCCATGCAAACATGTGTATATGGTGCGTGGCGTAGCGATGTTTTCTCATGCCATGGTGTCTATTGCGGTGGGGGAACACCATATAATCCGAAAACACATAGTTGTCTTAATGGTTTCATCTTCTCCACATATATAGGAACACCTGTCCTTGAGGGTTTTGCTTGAAATGCTGAAAACATGTGTCGGCACTTGCGTCGGTATTTGCGAGGCTGATCCCGGAACACAAAGAAAAAACTGGATCATGGGAGGTGACCGGGGAGGTGACCAATTTGCATATATGTGTAGATATACATAGGGATTGATTGTTTCATCTGTATTTGGTTTCTTCGCCTTCGCCGAACATGGCTTTCCTCTCGCGCGTCGTTTGCGAACCATGTTAGTACTCGTCGTAGTAGTAGTAGTAGTAGTAGTAGTAGTAGTAGTAGTAGCAGCAGGAGTAGGAGTAGGAGTAGTAGTAGTAGTAGTAGTAGTAGTAGTAGTAGTAGTAGTAGTATTAGTATTAGTAGTAGTAGTAGTAGTAGTAGTAGTAGTAGTAGTAGTAGTAGTAGTACTAGTAGTACTAGTAGTACTAGTAGTACTAGTAGTACTAGTAGTACTAGTAGTACTCGTAGTAGTAGTAGGAGTAGTAGTAGTAGTAGTAGTAGTAATACTAGTAGTACTAGTACTACTCGTAGTAGTAGTAGTAGTAGTACTACTACTACTACTACTACTACTACTACTACTACTACTACTACTACTACTAGTAGTACTAGCCGCAGCAGCAGCAGCAGCAGCAGCAGCAGCAGCAGCAGCAGCAGCAGCAGCAGCAGCAGCCGCAGCCGCAGCCGCAGCCGCAGCCGCAGACACAGCAGCAGCAGCAGCAGCAGCAGCAGCAGCAGCAGCAGCAGCAGCAGCAGCAGAAGCAGCAGCAGCAGCAGGAGCAGCAGGAGCAGGAGGGAGTTTGGGATTAATGTTGTATCCTGATTAGTGTGCTCCCCCGGAATTGTGGAAAAAAATCCAAAAATTATTCAGGTGGATCTATTTGAGGAGGACCCCCGGAATTGTGAAAAAAAAGCCGGGCGATGCAAAATTTCGGCGAGGCTGTCGAATGGTGTTGTCGTCCGGAAATCGCTTCTGAACTGAGCCTGAGGTTGTCAGGCCCTGAAATCTTCAGTCTCCTGGCCAGCCCCAAAACTAAGATTTCCTTATTAAATTCTTTTGTACCGAGGCCGGGCAATCAAATTTCAAAGGGGGTAGTCCAGCAGCTGCCCGACTGCCGTATAATATAAAAAGTTTGCTCCCCCGGAATTATCTTTTTTTTTGCGGGCTGGTTGGGTTTGGATCCAGAGGCCTAAGGGGCTGAGGCCTCCTAAACCTTGAGGCCTGAGGTTGTCGGGCCCTGAAATCTTCAGTCTCCAGGCCAGCCCCAAAGCTAAGAGTTCCTTATAAAATGCTTTTGTACCGAGGCCAAGCAATCAAATTTCAAAGGGGGTAGTCCAGCAGCTGCCCGACTGCCGTATAATATAAAAGTTTGCTCCCCCGGAATTATATTTTTTTCTGCGGGCTGGCTTGGTTGGGACAGATGGATCCCCTTTAAATTCATATAAACTCATCCCTTTCAAAATCAGGTGGATCCCTTTTAACATCATATAATCCCTTTTGAATTCATATAAACCCATCCCTCTTCAAATCTTAAGGATCCCGTTTAATTTCATACAGTCTCACCCCTTTTAAAATCATATGGATCCCTTTAAAATTCATACGAGCTCATCCCTTTTAAAATCATATGGATCCCTTTTAAAATCATATAAACTCATCCCTTTTAAAATCATATAAAGCCAGACCCCCCCCCCCCAAATTGCCCCCCCCCCCCACACTAAAGCGGGGGATCCATTCGTTGAGGGGGGGGGGGGGGGGGGGCCACACTAATCAGCAGACAACATTAAGGTTTGCGGCCTCAGGATCCATGGAGTCTGGGGCCAAGCATGCGACTCAAGTCGTGGGCCATGGTGTTGAAAAGTAGATCCATCTTTCACGGGTTTTTTCACGGACTACGTTTTCCAAAAACTGAAATATTCCGACGCTGAGGAGGCCAGGTACGCAAACTGCACATGCTCAAAAGCTTGGCTACAGAGTCGCTGAGGCAGGAGAGGGCTTGGGACCTGTATGCAGAATGATGGCATGCTCTGTTCCCAAGCCTCGCTCGTATCATGTAATAAAGTTCGGGCATTATCGTTTTTCCTTTCGCAAACCCCACCGCGAGACTTTTGCAGACATATGGCTTAATATCCTAAGACCGTTTTATCTAAAACCAGAGACACGGACCAGTAGATCAACCCTCACATGTATGTATACACGCATGTTTTTGGCACCATGCTCCAGCCAGCATCATCGATCATACTGTGGAGCAGTTCAAAGCATGACAGGAAGACTCCAGCGTGGGTCTTTCTGGTATCAGCTTCTGCACCACTTGGCTAAAAGCCTGCCGAGAAATATGCTGAAGCCAAGAACGTCATTGCTGTGGAATCAAAACATGTCATCTTATGAAGTGCCTCGAAGACAGTGTGGTCGTAGATGCTGGTGCAGTGGAAGGAGATGTTGGCTTTTTCCTCCACAGTCAATCTGATGTTCCACACGCAAGCCGCGAATCTTGAGACGTGCAAAAGAAGATGTGAGAAAACGTCTTGTGCGAGGAGGACATACCAGCCAAGCCTTGTCTGTCATCTCTTCTGTGAGCTTGTCTTCCACGGCTTTCTTGCACTCTTCCTTTCCTCGGTCTGAAGCGCACACCCACACACATGCACCTCTGAAACTGCCTACTCTCCAGCCCTGACTAGAACCATGCGCGGAAGAATACTATGACTAAATCTATCTGAGGCTAGATTTGAGTCACACCAAGCGCCCTGTCCACGGAACCGGCCAGCTTCGCACCGAGTCTCTGCCGTCGGTGTAGAATTTGGCACCGTCCACCTGGCGCAGCTACCCGGTTGAGCAAAGATGTTGCACGAGACTACACCTTTTTGGGAAGCTGGCACGCACAAATCCATTTGCTCTTCCCATTCGTGTCAGCACAGCTTGCACCCACCTTGTGCAGCAACACGTCGAAGGTGACATCTGGATTCAGCTTGCACGCGAACCTCACCGAAGTGTTCCCGGCTTTTGCGGCGCTTACTGCAGATGAACGATCCAGTTGGAATAGGCCAGTTGCACAAAGGGTGCAGATTCCGTGCTCCAGTATGGGCACTTCAGCATATAGGAAGCTAGTCGGGGGCGTGAGCTGGGGGGTTTCGGCCCTGCCTCCGGCATTGGATGCCAAAGAACCCGGAACGCCTTCCCAACTCGCATCGCACCACCCCCCCCCTCCAAATAAAAAGAGGCCCCCCCCGGCCCAAACCCTAAACCCCCCTGAATAGCCCCCCTAGGCCCTTCTCGCAACGCATTCCCCCCTCCAACTCCAGTTCGTTACCCTACATCTCGGCCAGTGCTATCTGCCTTTCGGACAGGTCGAACGTACTCCTCTGCCTCTCTCTGCATATTCTCCAGGGGCTTCGCTTTTAGCTAAGGGTTCAGGGCTCTGTGGGATCTTTACACTAAAATGATTCTTTTAGTAGGTTTTGCTCGCCTTCTTCGGTGCTGGGCGGAGAGAGGGCTGTTCCGTTTCTATTTGAAGAGATATTCGATCGAATACTGAATTGCGTGTCCCACCACAATCTCGAAGTGTTCTGAAGCAGTTTTGTCGATTCTGTGTCGGCACTTTTGTGCAATTTCCGAGGATTCGGGCTTAGGAGGGTTTAGGGTTGTGCTAGACGAACCCAATCCTACGGCAGTTCTGAGCGTCCGGCTCTATTACTCGCCTTGCTCTGGTCACGCTCGTGGTATATGCCTCTTCCTGCTGAGCCTTGGAAACGATTTCACGGAGAGCAGCAGTGAGAATCAGAACTTGCTTAGGGTGCCCACGTCGATGACGAGTACCACGGCACACGGTCCACCTGAGGCGTGCTTTGGCTCCACAAAAGGAAGTCTATCAGCAACACAGCTTAACGAACTCTCCTCCTCAGTCTTGGCCCATCGAAGCTAAGGACACCTCTGTCTAGACTCAAAAGTCCGGCGGAACCGCATATGGGGTTGGAGTCTACTTTCTTGGGGGCTCAGTTGGAGAGCATCCTCCTTGAATTTTATGGTGCACCCCAAAATCGGCCGGTGCAGATCGGCACGGATATCACCATTTCCAAGAAGGACTCTGGCGTCAACCATGAAGCTTTGAAGCTTTGAAGACTCCGACAAAGAACTATAATTCTGACAAGAGGCTGAACACGGAGGCATCTAAGGGGTGAAGACTGAGCGAGTCGTCAAGCAGCAGGGTGCCAGGGAAGTCCACCAACTGCCGAAGACTCTGTGAGTTTCAGGGCTTTGTGGGTCAAAGGGGCAGCACAATGCTTCTTTGGACGAAGGGTGGCAGCGCTGTCTGTTCTCTGTTTTGCATTGTTGCGGGCCTTTTTGCTGTACGGAGTCGGCACGCTGGCCGCCGAGTCAGGGACAGAACTGAATTCATTCAAAGGCATGAACTGCCTTCAAACGCAGCAGGCTGTTGTGCACGATGGTGAACGTCTCCAACCTGGAATGGGATGCTGTAGTAGATGTTGCCAGGCGACATGTCTCCACACTAAACAACTGATCGGTTGGTGTCTAGAAACCGCTTGAAAGGACACTGTCCAAGGATGCGCACAGTGAGGCATACAAGTATCCTCCATTCTCACGACAGGGCTCAGACTTAATGCCCGACTCCAGGAAGAGCGATTCGTGAGGCGAGAGCTTCTGAAACCTGAGCAAATTGCGGCCGCAGAAGACTGGCGACATTCGCGTTTGGGGGCAGAGTCGAAGCGTTGTGGCCAGAGTGTAGATGCTGCCGTACATCACACACGAAGCGCCCTGAGCTCGAGGCACCACTTTGCTGATTGACCTTGAAAAGCACAGGCGTCACGACATCATGACCGCCGTCATCCTCACCATCATCGTCTTTGGCTTCTTACTTTGTCTTCGATCTTATTCACCAATTGTTAGTCTTGATAGTCATTGCTAACATCCATACTTACGCTATTGTTGTTCTTGCTGCTATAATCGCTATTTTGGCTCGTACTTGCTGCTATAGCTGCTATTATTGCTTTATCGTTACAATGTATGTCTCTATGTTATTCAGGTTCACTTCGCTGCTGCCCTCCACCACTCTCCACCCCACCCTCTGAAATGCCACCGTTTCAGCGAGACCGAGCTGCCGACGTTTTCCCACACCTCGGAAGCCCACACATCACCACCTGCACAACAGCCGCTGAAGGGCCAAGTCGACTTGGCTAGTGCTCCGTTGATTTTTCTTGCGGGGCACCACATGGCACCACTATGTTGACTACTGTAGGTGCCAATTCTGGCTTGCGCAACGCAGCAGGAAGGTGACGGAGTGTCTTGAACTTGCTGCCTTGGCAACGTCTTCGGAGCTCATGTTCCTTGATGACCTCGGAAAAGTACTGTGCGAGACCTCCATCCTTCAATAGCACATCACAAGCCTGCCAAGGATCCAAGGGCCCCACTGTCAGCTGAGAGGAATCAATCGTGGCCGTGTGTGCTTGCACACGACTTACAGGAGGGTTACTTCAGGGCTTCTGCAAGCGTATGTGCGTGCATCTCGCACAATGTAAGCTTGGTTTTGCATTCAAGGAGCTGTCGGCTCGTTGGCAGCATGTTGTGTTTTCGTACTGGCTGTGTGATGTCTGACTTTCGATGTCGCTTGCTGCCAGACGCTTCTCGAGCAAACGCTCTGACCACGAGAAGAAGACAGCCAACTGCTGGTCGTATAATCAATAGCCATGGCACATCAAAGCCACCATCCCTTCCGGTCCCTTCGAACTTCTAAGCGCAAGCGGAAAAATACCAACTTATGCCGGAGACATGAGTCAGCGAAAGATGCCAATGCATCGAGGTCCTTCGCAAATCTTGCCATAGGCCCCTAGCCAGGCCGGAAGAGCAGACAGCACGGCGTCCTGCGCACCCTGACATGGCTTGCGCAAAGAGATGCAGGTGCACATGTCCTTGGTCATTGGTTGCATGAATTGACGTGGATTGTGCAGGCTGGTATACATATATGCATATAGTTCTGTCTTGGGAAGCTGCACATTTGCCAAGGCAGCTCGCGTTGCCGAGGCCTCTCCCACGCCTGAAGCCAGCAGCGAAGTGACACCTCGAACAATGCATGGCACTGTTCCCGCTTCGCGTTAGGCATTTGCGGGACACATTCCCCTTAAGTAGAAGCTGGTTCAATCACAACCACTGCACACAGGCAAGGCAACCCATTTTTTTCGAGCAAACGATGTCTCTGGGGTGTTCTTGTCCCAGTCCCACGCGAAGCGAGCACCAGCAGCCTGGACGCCAAGGGCGAGTGCTTCTCCGGCTAGCACAGAGGAATGCACAACAAGTACTTGTATCAACTACTCCAGATAAGTGAGTCCTGCCAACATCTCACAGCCCCAGTTGCCGCCATGGTCACAGCAAGTTGACTGCACCAAGTAAGTGGAACAGAACGAGCGCTTCTGTGCGCCTCTGCGCGCCGGCAGTGCTCCAAGCGTGCCCGCGCAGTTGCAGAGGGCTCCGTGGCACCATTGGGGCCAAGCTGCACCGCCTCCATGACAGGAGCATGTGTATGCAGAGAAGCATAATATTTACACATATATATGTACCTCTCTATATATATATATAGATAGATAGATATGTGTGGCGAGAGTGCGTATGTGTACGCGTTTCTCTTTACTCCTTTATGTGCACTGTGCGAGCAGGATGCCTGGCCAGGCAGCATGCGCACCTCGCCGAAGGCAGCCTTGGCTCTCCGTTGCAGGGTGAAGTTTTAGGATTGCGGGGATCTGTGCCCACCGGCCTTCCAGCGTGAGAAGTGCAAGTAGCCCGCCTCGCCGCATGAAGGTAGATGCCAAAGCCGGCCTGCGTTCCCGAGCATTTTTTGCCGACTTCTCAACATTACCTATTGCCCTTCAATATACGGTAAGACCCTTGCAGACCCTTTGCTTTTTTCAGCCGCAAAACGCAAAGCGTGCCTTCAGACCAAAGGATGTCGCCATCCTTAAAAAGCCAAGATTTCAACTTGCCATGACAGCTCGATTGAATCACAATCCCACACCCTCAGAGCGCCGAAATAAACTAAACTACCCGGTTGTGTACACCATAAGTGATGCCCCCGTGAAGTTCCTGTTGCAGCTGTGAGTCTCTGTGGCGAGGTGATGCAGAGAGCCTCGGAGGTGGAACTCTAGGCAGCTCTTGCATTCAACTTCACAGGGCTTAGGCCCTTAGGGCCCAAGAGACGGCTCCACCAGAAACAACCGGCTCAAAGCAGGAGCATAGTGCGTTGAAGGAGGGGGTTAACGAAACCGTGCCAAAAACCAAGCAAATACAGCACGAGCGCGACTATTGACTTGCTACTGCGCAAGAGAATTCAAGCTCACATAGCAACAGTAGCAATCATGTTGGCCGCGTGTTATCCAGATCAAGCTCCCCTCCGGCCCGCTTCGGTCCAACATCCTAGTCTTTTTGCCACTCGTTGGTACATCTCTAGATCCCATATAAGCCAATGACGGGGTAGCCATGAGATGGTTGCAGTTACCTGCGGTCGTATTCATCAACGTGTGTCGATGTATCGCAGTCGAAAACAATCAGGGAACTGGGTGCAGATACCCTAAACTTAAACCCTAAACCCGTAAACAAGAAACCCCTAAACGGCATGCTGCTGCTTGAGGCGCTGTGTTGGGAAAAATCGTGGAAGGCGCTCCAACCCTGATTTCCACAGCAGGTGTCCGAACGCCCACTCCTTGGACCAAGGCGTGCGGTAGGGAATCACTGTCGTTTCTCGCACAAAATGTGGCGCAGCATCGTGGGCTTTGTCGCTCTTGCGGACTTCTATAGAGCTTCCATGGAACAAGCCAGCCCATATTGTGCTTCCAGGCTGACCGCGCGCAGGGTGCTCTGCCAAGGCTCATCGAGGAACTGGGTGTTACGTTCTTTGAGCCTGACAGATAAATCCCACACATATTCGCCTCGGCTTCCTGCCGAGAAGCGTTTGAAACAAGCAGACCCGGATCCGGTCTCCTTCCCCCTAACCCAACCCTTCTGCAAAATGTTGTGACGCACCCCCCCCCCCCCCCTCGCTTGGAGGAGTCCTAAAGAAAAATGCACGAGTTTGGCTGTTTACCCCTCCGACCCCCCCTGGGACAGACCTTTTCTGGGACCCTGGCACCCCCCTGCCTTCCATGACACCTACAACCCTTCCCTCACCCCCCCCCCCCCCCTTTTTTGAGACCTTTCATCCCCGTGGGCCGGCCCGGCTGCCGAGGCGGCGCGCGCAAGCGTTTACAATTCTTGATTGAGAGCCCTTTGAGAGCCCTCTCAAACTTGCAAGCTTCAACATTGAATCCTGCAAACCAGCCTTTCTGCAACATCGGGCAGCTCCCTCCACAGCCGGTTCCTTTTTCAAGAGCGAGGCTGGCTTCAGTGCAATTTCAGGTGTGCTGACAACTACTTGCTGGGCCCCCCCACGATCCCCATGATGCGGAACTACCAGGCTACCAGGAATGATTTACGGCGGTGACTAACGGACCCAAGTGTCACCTCTGGCCGATTGCGCAGCAACGTCAGCGGCCCTTGCACAGGCCACCCAAACCTGCGTGGGCGATGCAATGCCAGGTGGACTCTCGCAGGAACAGAAACTGCCTTCCACTGCTTCGAGGCATGCCGGGTACAGGCTTCACTTTCTCCCCGAAGGTCCACCAGAGCATGGATGGCCGGTGTGCTATCTCCAATATGAAACAACTCTAGTTGTGATCAGACCCCAAATGTCAAGCCTTGGCGAATCTGGGCCAAGTGACTCCCCGGCGACGTCCCGCTGTGCCAGTGCGGAGGCATTAAGGCCAAAGGAAGCCAAGCGGCCGAAGATCATGTCGAAGTCCGCCTTTCAGTGGCTTCAGGCCGGTCAGGGTGGTTAAGATGCTAGATTGCTAGATGGCTAGATTCTTTCATTGTCGTGCTCTGTGTCGTGCTGAAACCCTGTCACAATGACGAATAAAAAGTTGAGGCGGCGTCTCAGAGGTCGTTTCATGGAGGGGTGTCATGGAATTGCTTGAGCCTTTAAATGTGCCTTAATTATGGACAGCCCTTTGGCAACTACACAACTGCCTGCTCCAAAACGCACTGCGCCTCTCAATTGTCAAGCTCTCAAAAAGGCACAAACTTCTAAACACGTCTAAAAGACCCATGCTCTCCATCAGAGCCCAGAAGCCCAGCCCCAGAAGTCAAATTGCCGCAGCCAAGTTTGAAAGATCTCCTTGGAGGCACAGGATGGATTGAACTGAGGGAACACTCTCTCCGGTTGCAGATTCATCTTGCAATGCTGGCGGAGGCACGCCGCCCTCTTAAGGGGGGATACGGCGAACGCAAATCGATGGAATCATCTTCAGTCTACAAGCTTGGGCGACGACGCTTACGGTCTGACATCCCCTGTAGACTTTAGACTGTAGACATGCAGATCCTACCGGCCATTTTTTGACTTGCATGACTGAAACGGGGCACTCCAATACATGTTGACGCCTGTTGGGCGTTTTGCTAGCCTGTGCCTAAAATACAAAGATGATCCTATACACCCACCACTCGGTGATCGAAGCACAAGGAATATCCTAGTTTATCCCAACTCCTTGACTGACCAGAAACAACGAAGCTGCGTTGTACCATCCCAACTGCCTGTCTAAACATCGGCCATGTGCCGCAACAACTCTGAACGGCAGTCCAACGCAAGCATCCTAATCCCCCTAACCCGGAAGGCCTGGAATGCTCGGAAGGGTTTGGTTTTCGTGCACGCTTAGAATGATCTTGAATGATCCCGCTTCACTTAAGAGTAGGTTTGAGGGCTCATGGGTCATCACTGGACTGTGCCACCCAAGTCAGCCAGGTGTCTCCGTACGCCATCTTCCAGTCAACGAGCTTGTATGCATGCTGCAGCCTGTCTCATGAACTGGCCAAGCCATAGCCAGCAAAATCAGTAAAACGCATTCCAACCGCGATGCCCCGATACCCTTCGCCCGACGGAACAACAGCAGACTCACGAAAAAGGGATTCCGTGTAATGGTAGTGCTATGGCTCAATGTTGGTCAGTGCTCTGGAGCCTTGCTTCCACGGCAGTCCTCCTTGCCGCAAGTTGTGAAAACGCGGAGGAATTGAGGCGCCGAAACCTGGGCCGAGCCGATGGAGCTAGCTTGGGCGAAATTTCTGCTGTCTCCGACGGTTTTCTTCATGGATCCAGCATGATCCTGGTTTTTGTGGCCTCCTTCCGCTACACTCGGTCGCATCCTGCAGCACTGAGATGTCGGCTCCACGTTTGATGCCACCTCGCCGCCCCTCCAGTCTGACAAAGGCCGGTCTGTGAAGATGAGAAACTGAAACTCCTCCAGATGTCGTGCGCATCACTGTTCGATGCAACTTTACCAGGAAGCATCCGGAAAGGTTTGGATTGAAACCGGCATAGCTTCACATGAGCGGCTGCTCATATTCGGTTCATGTGCTATAGTTCCCGATGAAGAAAAGCAAACGCCCCATACCATTTCCACATTTGAGGGCTGTCCAAAGCTTTTTGAAGACAGGCCAATCACACAGTGAAACGATGCAAGACGCACCCTCCGACTTTCTTGTGTACGGAAACACCTCAACCCAAACCCTCTCGCGATATGGAAGCACTTGGGGACTGGAAGAATGAGGATGCTTTGAGGCTTGTGGTTTCAAATAGCGCTCCGCCACACAAAATGGCCTGACACGTCTCGCCCTTCACGAGTTGGGACCACCCCCAGAAAACCAATACTTAAGCCCATACCAAACCGGTTGCTTGCATGGTCCTCGTTCCACCTCATAGAGCGCAAAGTAAGAGCTGCCCATCCGGGAGGAGGGCCGAACCAAACCAGCACAAAGGCCCCGAGCCTGGGAGGACTGTCAGAAAGGGAGGAAGCAGAGGGGTCTAATAATTTTCGGAGATGCTCTGACACAAAGTTCTCTTCTCAAGTCGGATAGCAAAGCTGAGCGCGCAGCATGATGCACCAGGGACATGGCTGGCTTGCACAGGCGGAAACAGGTACTCATGGCCTGCTTGGATCTGCACTCGTGGACGGGCTATGGAAGAAATGGCCGACCTCGTCACCCCAGCATGCTTATCCTAGAACTGAATGGGCTTGCCTGTGTCCCACCACGCTAAGCTAAACTCGTGAATGCCTTGACAAACCTAGCCATGGCCACATTGACAAAGCTCATGAGCACCCTTCTGAACGGGGCAGGCGAATAGGATTCCAGGCCCAAACATCGATCGCATTCACGAGTCAGAGCACGAGCTCTTTTGCACCCTCCGGCTGCCACAGGGCATGTCCCGCATGTCTCTTTCTGCGGAATCAGGAGTTCTGGACGAGAACGTGTTGGCACCCTGCTCAGTGTGCGGCTCAGTAGCGAAGACCCAGTGCCTGCTGGCGCCAACTCGCCATGACTCGGCAGGTGGTCAACAGAAACTCTCAGTGACAGCCCAGCTGCTTGCTCGAGCTCGGCGACAGTGCAGCAAGGCACACGGGCGCTATCCATTGAGAAGTGCATACGCCTCCGGGACAGGCTCCAACGTTTTGCTGAAGCATTGTGACAGCATCTTCGAATCACGGGCCCCACCACAACTGCCGAGAGTCTATGGCAAATTGCAAAAATGGTTTAAATGGTTTCGCAACATATGCCAACATGCTACTCTAACGAGAAGAAACCCTAGGCCCTAAACCCAACAAAGCAACCCGGAGATCACGCGGCCTCTGTGGAGGCGGCCTGCAAGGCCGGCAGCCGGTCCCTGCGACATATATATATATATATATAGACGAACGTATGTATAATTATGTGTGCATATATATATATATATACATGTATGCATATATGTATACGCACAGAAAAGGTTGGGACGCTACACGTTGTCACTTTTGTCTTTGCTGCAGTTGTTTTTTGACTCTTCTGATTTGTGAGCAGCAGCTTTTCCCAGCCTCAGTCTCCTTGTGCCCTGGGTCGGGCGGATGCCTTTCGCGATGGCCTGGGAACTGCGAGGGCAAGGAGAGGGTGCGGGGTTTGGGTTGTAGGGTTTAGGCATCAGCACGGGGCAGCCGGGCTACAGATCCCGTACAGTGGCTGAGCTATCTTCCACACCCCAAACCAGCCTAACCTGCGATCTAAAGAACCCAAGTATCTAAAGAACCCAAAACCCAGCTATTTCTAGCTGCCCAAGAACCTGTTAAAGGGTCCTTCAACAAGAGCCCACAAAAAAGTTGGCTTCGTAAACCACCCTCGCGGCCTCCTCTAAGACCTGCGCTGCTGCCTGGAGCTCCTCCGAACCGGGCCTAAAGACCAGGGCTGCTTTAGGGTTGCAAGGGTCCCATTTAGGGTTACAAGGGTTGTCCTAGGGGGGTTCAGGGTTGTTTTAGGATAAAGTGTTCCACTTAGGGTTGTAGCTGTAGCTTTAGATCAGAAACTCACTCAGGAAATTTCCATTGCAGAAGCAGGAGCCAGCCTCTGGGAGCCCTCGTCATCGAGCCAGTCCCTGCAAAAGGGACATGCTCGGAACAGCATCCAAGGACTCTGCACTCTGCACCGAGGAGCCTGCACAGTTCTGGTGACCCGAAAAGCCAAGCTGCCTCAAACTGGAAATCCCGAGGTGGAGAAGGATGTGCTCTTCCAGGAAGTACTCGTTGGCCGACACCTCGAAGAATTCAACGGTCAGCCCAGCGCAATGAACGTTGCAAGTCTTGGATCTTTTCCACACAGCGCGAGGTGCAGGGCCCCCACCATGTCCTCGTCCATCATAGATAGCACCTTCTGCCTTAGATATGGGGTCAGTCGGCCTTCGTAAGTTCATATAGCTGCGTAGTGGAGAATGGGCTTTTGTACGTACGTGGCCAGGAAGGGTCTACAAAACTCGCGGCATCCAGATTAAAAAATGATGTCACAACTCGACTCTGCAACGATCTTCAACGATCTGCAGGGCAGGTGGCTCCAGCTCCACCGCTGCTGCGTGACCCGGGCGTGTTTCTGCCACAAACCTGCCCGGTGTAGCAGCTGCAGCTTCGATAGCTTCGAGGCGTAGTACATGGTTGTTCTGAATTAAGGGTCCTTCGTGATAAGCGAACGGAACCCTTACAAGAACAAGAGGGATCCGAAGTTACAACATTACCAGATCCCAGCATCTTGGTACACTCCGAGGCTTGCAAGCCAAGACACCAAACGGGGTGGGGTGGGGGGTGGGTGGAGGGTGGGAAGGGGGGGGGGCTCCACAACTGCAAAAACGGACCCTAGTGCAACTGCCACATCGCGAAACAGCAGGCCCTACTATGCATTTCTACACCCACACAGGTTGTGATCCGGATTTCGGATTTCTCTTACTGTGGGGGTTTGCCTCTAAAGAATGGGCTTGTGGTTTGTGGGGGGAAGGTTTGGGGTTCGGTCTGTCCTTTGAGGGCTTAATTGGTTTGTAAAAGGGGTAATGTTGGGGTGGTTCAGCGTGTTGTTGTTGTTGCGCCGTGCCGGCTTGCAATTTGTTGTATGGCGAAGGCTTGCAATTGCTGCCGGGGTTGGGGTTCCGTCGGTTTAGGGAGACCTCCAAACCCAAAGCCGAACCGGCAAACCCGAAGCCCAAACCAACAAATTGGGCCAAAAACCCAAACCCAAAATCGACAACTTCGGGGTTTTGGGTTCAAGTTCAGGGCAGGCTTTCAGGACCCCTCAGTTAGCAGGCTCCCAGCAGTTTCAGCTGAGATCTTCCAAGAGCGAGCGTATTTCCTGAAGGTTCACGTGCAGGTTTGGAAGCTATAGATACTTTTGTAAACCTGTGGTATGAAGGGGAGGGTGGAATCTCGAGGTGGCCCCTCACACCGAACGCCCCACATACACGAACTTGTAGTGGAGAGCAAGCTGCTAAAGAGCTTGAATCACACCGTTCGAACCCAGAGAAGCAAGGCGTGCAGAGGTTACGATCACCTATGGCCCGAGTGGCTGAGTTTGATCGTGCCTGCCTGGTGCAGGCCCCCATGTAGATAGTGTAGTGGACGATGTTTGCCCTGAGCTTGATGCTTTTACCACGATAGCAAAACTGCCTTCTACAGTGCTTTCAGCTGTCCGCAAGAGCGATCATATCTGCAATCTTGTGCTAGTTTTGTGCTCATGGGTATTGCGCGGTGAAAAAGGTCCAGAATCTTGCTATCTTGTGCTAGTTGAGTGCTCACGGCAATTTGCGAGGTGAAACTCGCGTCAGACGGGTCAGATGTCTTAGACATCACTGGCGACATGGGCAAATGGGCTTAACCCCCGCCATGGCTTGCTGCCCCCGACCCCAGGAGGCACGCTAATTGCTGAAGCTTGACGTACGTCTCCAACGCGATCTCACAGAGGTCTTGGCCAATCTCGACCATCTCATCAACGTGCACGCCCTTTACGAACTCGTCATCCAGGCAGTCAAGAGGAGCCTGGCCTCCACGTGACCATCACCAACTTCAGCGCCTCTTTGTAAAACTCTGGATTTTCCACGCGGAGCTGCAGCAGGTCCTCCTTGCCTGATAAACAGCGTCTGGAGCATGCACTCCACCGGGACCTGATTCATGTCGGCGAGCCGGTCTACCCGGAAGCAGGACCTTGCCCACTTCTGCCGGCGGAGGTGCTGAGCTCTCTTCTGGTGGCGCCAATGCTGTTCGTGCAGAGCACCGCGCTTCATGATAACGGCGCACCACGCCAAAGCCGCAGTGGCGGAGAAGGCCCTGTCGCAGGGCCTCATGGCTGATGATGCTGCCTGATGCTTAACAGCTTGAACCGACTGCTCGACGAGCAGAAGCCAATATGAACTGCATGCTACGCAGGCACCGCCTTCGAAAGACCACTCAAGCTTTAGCAAGACTGCCTTCTACAGTGCTTTCAGCTGTCAGCAAGAGCGATCATACCTGCAATCTTGTGCAAGTCTTGTGCTCATGGGTATTGCGCGGTGAAAAAGGTCCAGAATCTTGCTATCTTGTGCTAGTTGAGTGCTCACGGCAATTTGCGAGGTGAAACTCGCGTCAGACGGGTCAGATATCTTAGACATCACGGGCGACATGGGCAAATGGGCTTAACCCCCGCCATCATGGCTTGCTGCCCCCGACCCCAGGAGGCGCGCTCATTGCTGAAGCTTGACGCACCTCTCCAATGCGATCTCATGGAGGTCTTGGCCAATCTCGACCATCTCATCAACGTGCACGCTTGACGAACTCGTCATCCAGGCAGTCAAGAGGCACGGATTGGTCGCCCATTGCCTGAAGTGGGGCTTTGGCCCTAATCAGGACACTGCCGTCTTCTTTGCCAGGACCCAGCCCAAGGGCGGGGGCTCCGCCATTAGAGCCTGGTCTCCACGTGACCATCATCAACTTGAGACCCCACCGGGACCTGGTTCATGTCGACGAGCTGGTCTACCTGCGGAAACAGGACCTTGCCCACTTCTGCCGGTGGAGGTGCTGAGCTCGCTTCTGATGGTGCCAATGCTGTTCGTGCAGAGGACCGTGCTTCATGATAACGGCGCACCACTCCAAAGCCGTTCAACTTGGACCGGCCGAGGCTTCGGCCGCAGTGGCGTCAGAAGGCCCTTTCGCAGGGCCTCATGGCTGAATGATGCTGCCTGATGCTTAACAACTTGAACCGATTGCTCGACGAGCAGAGGCCAATATGAACTGCAAGGCTTTTGTGCATGCTACGCAGGACCACCTTCGAAAGACCACTCAAGCAACTTTCAACTATGCTGATCCCTTGCGCATGCAGTCATTGCAAAATGGAAGAAATTATCGGGCTCAAGTTGTTCAGCACACTGCCGCATGACACCACACTGTACCGCATACCGCATCCCGCTAATTACTAGAACTTGTCGAGCAGTACCAACATTTTGCCAAGTCTCTTGATGCTTGCGTTCCGCATGCGCAGCAAAGCTTTCTCTGCATTGTCGAGATCCTAAGGCTCTGTAGGATCGCTAGAGGCTAAACATGCAACAACATGCAGCAATGCAACGGCTTGTGTTTAAACGTTTCTCTGCGGCAACCAAGCACTGCAATAAAATTTCGGGCCATAACGACAACGGGGTCCCAGAGTCTCTGGATTCTCGGCATGCTTTCAGAAGGCAGCCGTAGTGCGATGGACTGAGCTCGACACCTTATTGCCGATCTGCAGTTCATTTGCAACACCGTGCTCAAAGACTATGACAGGGACTATGGTCATGTTCTCTGCCACGCCCGAAACGCGTGCGTAAATCCTGGAATTTCGAACTTGGCACTTTCTCTGCTGCCATGTCGCCTAGGGCCTGCGCTTCCTCCATGTCCTTGACAGCTGTTGAAGGCGGGCTGGGAGGGCTTGCAGTAGGGGTTCTCAAAATGCCTGCAAAGAGAGGTGAGAGAGGATGTTAACGGGTGGAAGTGCTGCGCAGGATCTTGGGGTCAGCCATGTACAGCTGGCTCAGCCCTTCATGTTGGTTCAGGAGCACTTGGCTTTTCATGGACGACTACTTGGACGACTGCTTCGCTTGGATGCCCGAAGACCAAGCCCTGCTGCAAGGTAGTCCTTCAACACGAGCTCAACATCTCCTGCAGTCCCAGGCGTGTTTGGCGCGTTCCATGTTTCGAAACAAATCCAGGTCGTCAGAAACTCAAGGTGGCAGCCCGCAATCCTCGCTTTGAGCTATCATTGAGTGCATGTGAGAAGTAAGGTTCGCAGCAGAAGGCATGCCATAGGAGGCATAGATTCAACACGAAAAAAGTTCCCGCACTTCTGAAGAGCAGCTTGCAGTTGGAGTCCTGCAAAGGCCGCCGCATTGAGAAGTCCCGTGAGGCAGCCTAGGCTGTGGAGAGGACCCTGGTCCAACTCGAGGTGTCTTCGAGGTGGTAACATCCACATGGCCCCCTTCTGAAACAAAAACGCAACCTCACTGGCGCATCACTACAAAGCACACATTCTCAGCAACAGCAGAGCAGTCACAAGAGTCACAAGGCAGCTGAAGCCGAAGAGTGGCTCTGCTGTCGGGTCGGGGACAACTTCAGAAGGCCCTCGTCGACGATCTCGTGCCAAACCCTGCCGGCGTGTTTTCCTGTCCCTCCCAACTCCCAGTCTGCTCTCAGAACTCTACATGATTCGGGGCTGGACTTCCAAGAACTTGCTCCAAGACAGCCCCGAAAGCCATGAAGAAACAACGTGTGTGAACGGAGTCGGCCAGGAGCAAGCCCCAACTTCACGCCAACCCGCTCGTTCCCGGGCCTGCTGGCTTCCTCGTAGTTGCCTTGCAGCCCCAGCAGCTTGAGCACAGAGCCGTAGACATCGGTGACTTCCATCGAGCTGCTTCGGATCTCCTCTTCACGAGAAGCCACGCTTGTCAAATGAGGTCATGTACCCTTTCGAGCGAGATTGCAAAGAAAAAAGGTCACGAACTGTGTCCTCGAAATAAGCCATTCCTTCATCAAACTTCTTGCAGGAGGCAGCAGCACCTGCCGGAGGCGTCCAGCCAGTTTAGGATCATGAATAATTAATGCACTTCTCGAGCAAGTGGCCCTCGGATCCCTAAGGCTCCACCCAACTGGAACCCCCTGGCAGAGTCCGAAATGCGAACTGAGCTGCTAATCATCGCGCTGTACCTTGGCGCATGAAAGGCTCTGAGAACTTCGAGAAGTCTCGGAGGCCCGAGGGCATGAGAATGGGGATTCTACGCCCTAGAACGAAAGCCTCCTATACAGCTCTAAAACCTGGTAAGCTGCCCCCGTTCACCACCATAATCACAAATGCTCTCAACCCCAACTCCATGCTATCACCTGCAACCCAAAAAAACCCTAATAGCCTTCCGGAAACACCTCTGTGCCTCCTTTAAGTTTCGAAGTAGCAAGCTGAGCCAGGGCCTGCGCCACAAGTTTGGTATGCTTGAGGGTTTAGTTTTAGGGTTTCGGGTTCGGGGACTTGGGGACAAGGTGTCGGTGCGCAGGGGCACAGTGGTTTCGGGAGTTGTGGCTGATTTCTGTGGGGCTTTCGATGTGACTTGTTTCAAATTTGGGTCAACCCTGACAGCCTGAAACCTGAAGCCTACAAACTCCTAAACCCAAAACCTCAACCGCCTGACCTGCGTTGGGGTGAGGTGCATAATGGAATGCTTGATCTCAGAGGCGTTGAATTCTGCCTCCGCCTCTTGGAAGTTCCTGCAAGAAGGGGGCTCAGGGTTCAGGGTTCAGGATTTGGAGGTTCATAATAATAATAGTAGTGATTAATAGTGATAATGATACTAATACTACTAATCAAGTGCAGGAGGAATCCAGTCCAGCGGATGAGAGCAAATCTGTCTGAGCTGCCATGGCCCAAGCGAGTAGCTGCACTTAGCAGGCCAGCCAGCTAATGCGGTAAATGAGCGGATGGGTGTCTTGCTACAGACTTCACTCAAAAGAACCCTGGCATGCGAGCCTATTCCGGCCCCACCAGCCGATTCGCGCAGTGGTCTTGAAGAGCTCCTCTGGGGTATCCTCGGGCAATTCGCGCACGTTCGGGTCCGCCACCTTGGGTGCACTGCCGGGTTAGAGGATTCTCTACTGATCTTCATTGTCTAGTCGTCTGAACGCGGTTGGGAAAAGTGCTTTGGGCCGTGTGGTCCTTGTAGAGGCTTGCGGAATTGGGTCCAGCATGGTCGAGGTACGAACCAGGAGGTCTTTCTCAAGTAGCAATCGCCGTTGAAAGCACTGGAGGCAGCGAAGGTACCAAAGGAAACCAACGCAGAAGCGCAGAGACTTTCTGCACCCCCCCCCCCCCAAAAAAAAGGCCAACATCAATCTCATCCGTACACCAAGAGCCAGACCCCCATTCTCCGCTGGCTCCATTTCAGCGATACGCTGAAGCTGTAGCCACTCCTGCAGATCAGCAGCATTCTCCACATGCTCTGCCCACTATGCAGCTGAAGAAGTGCAATGAGCCTACTGCAAGTGAGTCTGGCAACTGAGGATAACGATTCCAGGCAGGTCACCCCAGCGCGAAAAGCAGCAGAGTGTGCCCCAGGCACCCTCGTCGCCCCACAGAAGCCCAGGCACGGCTGGAAGCAGATGGGCGTGTCGCGCTCATCACGGCGGAGTCGCTCAGCGAGGTTCTAGTGAGTGCAGTCTCGTTTTTGTCTGGCAAATAGCTGTGAATGCGGCATATTGCAGCTCTGATCAGCTCTCCATGTGGTAGCTTGCGTAGGCATGGTCACAGACACAGCCTCATGCAAGACGATCATGATCAAACCAGGCAATAGTCCGTTACTTCTAACCCACAGCGTCCAGGAGGCAAAATGTGCTTGGCTGGCGGAAGTGCTCCCACGGTGAAGACTTCCGGTCATGTCTAGCTCGAACTCCTAGAGCAAACTGATTCAGCAGTGGATTTGACTCATCTTGACAGCATACGGGGTGGCTCCACCCACAACCCTTAAGCTCAAACTTCAATTCTCTCCATAAATGTGGGAAGACCTTCGCTGACCGGGCTCGGCACTCGACACATGAGCACGGATCTCGGTCACAGCAGTATGAGGGGAAGGCCGGGAAGGCTTAATTAGGACCTCGGAAAGGTACCCTAGCCACGTGATGGTGGATGCCAGCAAGTTTGCACTCAATGCAGCAGATCGCAAGACTTCATCTTGTCTTCTTTGTTCTCAAGAGAAACAACCGAGTGTCAGGCGCAGCTTCGCCGCAACTCTGGGGGCGATGCCTCGCGGGTGGTTGAGAGACGATCTTGCACGGTGTCAGCATGCTACAAGTAGCCGCAAGCACCGGCTCCCTCACTCAGAAAGCTTAGGCTTAAGCTCACACCCTCGGCCCACCACCAACGAATCGAAACCAAAGTGCCAGGTTTGGCAAGCAGTTTGCTTGCCTCAGCAGAGGCCAGCTGCAGTAGTGGAGCCTCGTGCACAGCATCATCGCACAATACAATTTGCCTCTTCGAAAAACCCCACCTTGCCTGAAAACCCAACAGGAAGGATCTTATGCTGCTGTGTGGGGAAGCGGGTACGGTCGCCCACACCTTTCAGGCCTGCTTATTACGGCCCGCTGCTTGTCTTAATGCTTACGTCCTCAGTGCCGTGCTGCTGTCCTGGGTGTGTCGCGTGGCGTCACATGATGCGGGCATGCGGGCCTTTTGGTCCTTAATGTAGTTCACGGCCCCACTTGTCGGTCGCTGAAGATGCTACGCAAGCAAAGCGCCACCCTAGTCATCCGCTGATTAAGGAGCGCATGGACTGCTCGAGCCCTGCCTGCAGGTGGCTGAGGGACTTGACCACCTCAGAAACAGCACAAGGACGGGCATGGTGGGTTTTCGAAGCACCTACATATTCTGCTCCTAGGCATGCTGGCTACGGAATACCTCTTGGCGGTCCCTATTTTGCTTGGTGCTGCTATGTAATGTACTGCTTCCCATCTTTCACTTGGTCCCGTTCTGGCCGGTGTTCTCCTATGGCTTGCATTTCTTCTTTTCGTTGGTGTCATTTTGCAACGCTGGCCAGGTATCTTCCTTGCAGGCAAGGTGTTGAATTATCCGAGTTCAGGCTTGCGGTCTGGTGGATGTTGTCTGCCTCACTTTTTTGGGTGGCCTGCGGGCCGGTGGATGGCTCAACTACCAAGAACCGCCCCGAGCAGGCTTCGCCGACATGCCGGGTCGTGCTGTGCTTTGACGCGAGGGTCTCTGTGGCAGTGCTCTTCACCTCTGGCGTCGATCCCATGGGGCACGCTCAAGGCGTGGCACTTGTTGGCATCTCCGTGGCACAGTCTATCCGGTGATCCTTTTTCGCGACTCTTTCTTTTCGGCACCATCCGTTGACGTCCACTCAAAACGTGAATGTGCCTCTGCAAAGGCAATCACATGCATGTGATGCAGAATGTTGCGGGCGACAGGAAGATGCGAGACCAGCGAGAAAAACCGATCCCCCAACTCCCAACCTCAGGGCTGCAGTCGTCCAGCAAGACCGCGGCGCCTGGGCGCTTGATGTTAGAGTTGGAGAGACCCTCTTTTTGTCTGAGCTGAAAAAGTGGCCTTCTGTGTCCAAATTCTTCAACCCCCGTGCTCTGAGCTCAGCTCACTCCACGCAAGCAGTAGCCTGCAGGACAGGTCGCCAAGGCCAGGCAGCTTCCGGCGCTTGGCAGACAAAAGCACCGCTGAAAGTGGGCACAAAGAGCACGTGATGTTACTGGGATAGAGTCGTGAAAGGCACGCACGCACGCACGCACGCACACACGCACACACGCACACACCCACACACCCACCCACACACCCACACCCACACACCCACACACACACACACCCACACACCCACACACACACACACCCACACCCACACACACACACACACACACAGACACACAGACACACAGACACACAGACACACAGACACACAGACACACAGACACACAGACACACAGACACACAGACACACAGACACACAGACACAGACACACAGACACACAGACACACAGACACACAGACACACAGACACACAGACACACAGACACACAGACACACAGACACACAGACACACAGACACACAGACACACAGACACACACACACACACACACACACACACACACACACACACCGTCGAAGACCTCCATCATCCTGCGACCGGTGAGATCCACTTGGTATGTCGGGCCTGCTCCCCGTTGCCCTGGAGGATGCCCATCGAGAGCTGCTCTCGCAAGGCCTCGGAGAGGTCGCAATCATTTTTTGTTCATGAACTTTTGTTGTTAAAGAAATCCCAAAGAAGCAGCTCCGAGAAACTGACTCTGGCGACTCTCTGAGGCCTGAGCAGGCCAGGGGCCCGCTGCCTGGATGTTCGCGAGGCAAGCAAAGAGGAGGCCTCCAGTGACTCCGATGGGGTCGCTGTTTCACCAAAGAGAGAGAGAGAGAGAGAGAGAGAGAGAGAGAGAGAGAGAGCACTCTTACTTAAAAGACTTTCAAAGCCCTCACATTTCTGTGCTTTTTGCATGGAAGCACCGGCTGCCCTGAGGCGGCACGTATTTGTTTTGGTGCGTGTGTGGGTATGTGTCCATGTTCGTGCCGAAATGGTCAACATTTTTCACATGAGGCCCGATGTTGCTCCAGAAGTACGAGAAGGGCTGAGAGCTGGGGCTTCAAGTTTCTGCTACATACATATTATGTATATATATATATATGTATAATATATATATATATATGTATATATATATATGTATATACGTATATATATATATATATATGTATATATAACGCAACAAAAGAAAGCTCTACCTTCAAACCCCTGCCAGCTCTCAAACCCCTGACAGCTTTCAAGCCCCTGCCAAAATACTCGCATTCCATGGAAACAAGCACAAACAAGTATTCAAACGAATTCAACTTGTACCAACTTGAGATCGAGGCCACGAAGCTAGACAATGCTTTTTCGTGCGCAAGGTTCTACGGTTCTACACGACTTTCTTTCTCATTCCCAATCCCATATACCTAGCCTGAACTTCTACGAGCGCTTGAGATATGGAGGTGGAATCCGATCTGTTCGGGGCAGGGGGGGGGGGGGGGTTCGACCAAGAGAACTGTGAACCATAAGGTGCTGTCCCCATCCAACAGTGCAACAGTGCTGTATTGTCCGAAAATTCTATGCTTTTTTGAATCTTCAGAAACTTCTCAGTTGTTGTACAGGAACAAGATTGGGACAGGTTGCGTCAAAAGCAATTAAGTCTTGCATTGTTCCCTGCGCCCTACGCCCACGTGATGTCGCCACAGCTGTCTCGCATTGCTTGGTACAGCTTGTTCTGGCAGTCGCGCGAACCGTGTCACAGAATGAAACGAAAGTCGTGCGTTGCGTGATCTCCTATCTTCAGAAACTCAAGGTCTAGAGGCTTGCATGACGTGTGCAACTTGAGGACCTAAAGGGGGTGGGGGAACCTTGAGCGGGTGCGGGTATGCGGGGTGAAACCTTGAAACCTAGAGGGCGGGGTCGGAGACAGGGCGGGTGGCGTGCCCCGCCGCCCCCTCACCCTATCCCATGCGCAGCCACGTTAATGGAGGGGCGTGCGGCGGGGGGTGCACCACCACCTCATTGCTCCTGGGACCTTGAGGTGAGTTGGGGGGAGAGGGGGGGCAGGGGGCCTTGCCCCTTTAAGACCTGATAAACAGGTCCCGAACTTGACTCCCCTGGTGCCTTACTGAGAGGTGACTGAAGAGGCGAATGGTATTCACAGAGCTAGCTTTCGTGACTTTTACAGCAAAGCCTCACCCAGGAACCGTGCTCCAACAAGATCAAATGACTTTGGGGATAGTGTAACTTCAACGTGGACCTAAGTTGTTCCATAGTTTGACAACACGATACACGACTAAGCTATGACGAGAGGTTGATGTAATTTATGATACTTCCAACATGACTTACAACTATCTTTCTAACTCAAGGCCCCTCCTTGTGGTTCGCTGATTCCCTTCTTTTAAGCACACGGGGGCATCACGCAGTCCATGCAGGTCGCTGCGTACACTCCCGGGCCTTGCAAGCTGCTGTTCTTCTCCCCCAGCCCCTGCAACAACGCCTCGAGATGTGCGGGTTTCGGGCAGGTTTAGAGGGCAGCCGACTTTGGGCATCAAAGCTCACTCCTGCGCTACAAGTATGATGCTGAGAGTTTAGGGTTTAGGGATTAGGGTTCAAGCCTACTGTTCTCTGAGCTGGATCGTGCCTCAGGCTCAGGCGCTTCGCAAGGCCTCTTGATCCTGCGCTGCGAGCTGCGACCACTGGCGCTGCGTCAGCTTTCGCCTGGCCCCCGCATTTTTCACCCGTGTAAGCAGCATGCCAAATTGTGAATCCATATGGGGATTTCCCAAAATCTGGGTACGAGTACCCCTTTTATACCCCAAATAGAGTAGAAGCCCGGTACCCGTATTTCGTAACCACCCAAATTCTGCTGCTCGTGCCGGCTGCACAGGATGGTCAGGGCCATCTGCCGAAGGGGTATGGCGTCCTGCTGTGATGGACTCTTAAAGACAGGAGAAAGAAACCTGAAGCTTTCTCGAATTCTCTCATTCGCATAGTGGCGGAGCACCAGTGACGAATTATAGCAATCACACGCACAGTCAGAGGCATCACAACCCACGGATTCTTTAAGATCTAAGCATCTTATAACTTATAAGCACACCATCAAATCCTCTCTGCCTCCGGCCTGGGAACCAGGGCCTTGCACGGCCCATACTGCCAGCCTCGTGCCCGCGCTTGGCTACTACAGGTTTGAGTTAAGTTGTGAACCGGGCTTCTTCTACAAGTAAGAGTTTTTTTCAGGTGTATACAGGGCACGGCTTATCCAAAGGTTTGTTTTGGGTCCCTTGTTCGTCGAGGGCTTGTGGGGAAACTTGGGAGCTGAGAGCTCCCCCTGCCTGGTGGCGAAGCCAGGCTTTAACCGCGCACCTCCAGTGGAGGTTTCTCAAGGGTTCGGAGGATTAGGGCTTGCAAGCTTCGTGAAGCTTCAAGACAGGTTAGCTATGTAGTCTATAGAGGTCTTTAGAGAAAATGCCCTCCTTGCACCGTGGCCTTCAAGCGCGGCCTCAGCAGTGCTCCTCCGAGACCTGATGGTCTAACAAGAATTCACGGAGGCTGCACAAAGAAAGTGTCCAGACAAAGGTGCAGAAGGGGAAGGGGGACGGACCCAAAGAGAGAGAAAGAGAGAGAGAGAGAGAGAGCGAGGTCTCTCGGCCCGCAACCCATCGGCCGAGCAAAGGGAAAGAAGCAGCTGGCCCAGCCTGAGCTTTGAAGCTGACGGCTGCACTTGCTTAGGGCTCGGACCTGCCGTGGTACTTTCCATGCTCGCTGAATCCCTACGAGCGCCGTCTTTGACATCGTCGTAGGAACCTGAGCGGAAGGCTCTTGGTCCACGGAATCTGATGCCATCAGCCGTGCACACAGTGTCAGCGCATGTATGTGGATGTTGGGTTTCATGTGCGTGGATGTACCTGTGCCCAAACTTGATCAAGTTTAAGTAAAAAGTATCCGGGCTGAGGGTCTTCGAGGGACGCCGTGCTCTGTGAGTTTCCAGTGTGAAACAATGAAGCAGAAGGCCCTCTAACTTGAAGCTGTGGAGTGGCTCCGTCACCAAACTCAGCCCCTCTTACGCACTCTGTGCAGGAGGCGGAGTGGTGAACTCCATTGAGCCATGTGCGGGGCGGATAGCTTCAACACAGGTCCGATTGCTGCATGTCGGAAAACTGAAAGGTCACGACCACAAGCTAGCCAAAGCTTTTATGACCTGCCAGCTCTTACGCTATCGCTGCGATGTCAGTGCTGAAACTCATGTCAGAAGAGTCAGATTGTCTTAGACATCACCGGCGACATGGGCAAACGGGCTTAACCCCCGCCATGGCTTGCTGCCCCCGACCCCAGGCGGCGCGCTAATTGCTGAAGCTTGACGCACCTCTCCAATGCGACCTCACGGAGGTCCTGGCCAATCTCGACCATCTCGTCGAAGTGCACGCCCTGGACAAGCTCGTCATCCAGGCAGTCAATGGGGGCGGTTTCGTGCGTGATTTCCCTTGAGTGGGGCACTTTGGACTCAGGATGCTGCCCTCTTCTCCGCCAGGACCGAGCCCCGGGGCGGGGTGCAACGGGGCTCCACCGTCCAACTTCAGTGCCTCTTCTCTGCAATCTGCAAAGGGGTGGATTCTTCACGTTGAGCTGCCGCAGGTCCTCCTTCGCCGGTCCCCGTAGAGCGCATGACTCAAAGCCTGTCCATGACATAGTGAACAGCGTCTGCACCATGCACTCCACGGGGACCAACGTGATGTCGACCAGCCGGTCCACATGCGAAAGCAGGACGTGGAGGGGCGAAGTGCATCGGCACCAGAACAGAGATCCTCTCTTCTGGCGCCGACGCACCTCCACGGCAAAACCGTTCACGTGAAGCAGTCCAAGACCACGGCCGCAGAGGCGACAGAACGCTGGCCGAGCAGGTTCAAATTCAAGCGCTAGCGTTAAGAATGTAATCATCAGTCAGTATTATCCGCCGTGGGTGAGAATGCTGACTGAATATTCTTCACCACTAGCACTTGAATTTGAACCGATTCTGCAAGCTGACAAGCTACAGCACGCACTTCCGATCCCCTCGTGCGTGCAGTTGCTTTTGCAACTGTACCTCTAAACTACATTTGCAGGCCACTCTTTCTGTAAGAGTGCCCGACGGCCTCTGTGAACCCCCGCGAGTGCAAACAAACACACAGCGACTTCCTTTGACACACGTATGCGAGGGCTCCACTTCCACTCACTGTGCCATCTGACCTGACCCTACCTGCGGCAGCACGCAGTGCCAGCGCAAGTGTTTGGGCTGAGGGACTTTGAGGGATGCCGTGCTCAGTCTGAAGCAATGAAGCAGCAGGCCTTGTAACGTTTTAAGCTGTGGAGCGACTCCGCTCCATTGAGCCATGTGCGCGGCGGATAGCTTCAATGCAGGTCCGATTCTCGACTGGAGGCTGCATGCCGGGAAAGCGGAAATGTCACAAGCACATGCAAGCCAAGCAAATCCCATATGACCAGAAACCGGCTTGCAATCTTGTGCTACAGTTCAGTGAGATGTGAAACTCATGATCACGTCAGACGAGTCACATGTCTTAGACATCACGGGCGACATGGGCGAAAGGGCTAACCCCCACCATGGCTTGCTGCCCACACCCCAGGCCGCGCGCCACCTGCTGCAGGTTGACGCACCTCTCCAACGCGACCTCGCGGAGATCTTGGCCATTGGCGACCATCTCGTCGTAGTGCGAGCCCTTGACAAGCTCGTCATCGAGGCAGTCGATGGGGACGCTTTGGTCCCTCATTTCACTCGAGTGGGGCAGTTTGCCCCTGATCACGATGCTGAATCGTGATCAGGGCCAAACTGCCCCACTTCGGGGAAATGAGGGACCAATGCGTACCCATTGACTGCCTCAATGACGAGTTCGTCACGGGCGTGCACGATGATGAGATGGTCGAGATTGGCCAGGATCACCAAGGGCGGGGCTCCGCCGTAGGAGCCGGGCCTGAAGTAACCACCACCAACTTCAGAACCTCTCTGCGCAGATCCGGGTTCTCCTCGTGGAGCTGCAGCAGCTCCTTGCTCATGAACAAGGTCTGCACCATGCAGTCCACCGGGACCTTCGACATGTCCACGAGCCGGTCTACCTGCGAGAGCAGGACCGTGCCCACTTCTGCGAGTGGAGGGTGCTGATGATCTCGGTTCTGGCGGCGCCGCTGTCTGTGCAGCAGCACTCATCGCTTCGTGAAAACTGCAGGCGACCCCGACGCCGTTCACGTAGAAGAAGCCATGGCCTCAGCCCTAGTGGCTGCAGAAGGCCCTTTCGCAGGGCCGCATGGCTGGGAAGGCTGATGAAACAACCGCTAGCAAATGAAACATTCGAACCGATTGCTCGACGAGCATGCGAGACACGGTGCTCCGTGTCGTCCATGCTACGCAGGGTGCACACCATCCTCAAAAGACCCAACCAGACACTTCAGAATGCTACCCTCACAACACGACTCCTTGAAGCGCGCTTTTCATCCGCAAGCTGACAATTAAGCTGCAGCACGCTCAGGAACGGATGCACTTCCGATCCCTCGTGCGTGCAGTCATTGCTTTTGCAACTGTACCTTTAAACTACATTTGCAGGCCACTCTTTCTGTAAGAGTGCCCGACGGCCGCCGTGAAGCCCCACGAATGGAAAACACAAAGCGGCTTCCTTTGACACACATATGCGAGGGCTCCACTGCCATCCACTGCTATCTGACATGACCCTACCCACGGTAGCAAGTCGGCACAGCGTACTGTATGCGGCGACTGAAGGCTCTCGCAGTGGGGTTACGCGCCGATACTTGCATGTCTGAGTTTGGGGAAGCAGCCGCACCCCTGCCTTCTGCAGCGTCATTGGTCTCATGACGCTGGACTCACTTCTTGCTCCGGCTAGCAGCGCGTTGCATCTGGCAAAATGACCAATGAAGTGAAGGACTCCGCTCTCCATCTATTATCTGCAAATCCTTCAAACATGGACTGTGGTGGCGAAGACACCTCTGTCCCCGGCAGTCAGTCTCGCTTCACCATGGCCTTTGCCTGCGATGGGTCGTGTGAAGCATGGGCACGACATGATGCATCTGAAATCTCCACAAACGAGCTTCGAAGATGTTTGGCGCAAGTGCAGCACTAAAACGTCAGCCGGCATGCAAGGCTCTTTTGCGCTAAAGCTCGGTAGCCGCCGCTGCGCCGAAGCAGCGTGGACATCCTGCGACCAGTGCGTGAACCCAGGGTGCGAACTTGTAGCGGTCCACATCCTCGGACACGTGACAGTTCGGTCACTCATGAAGGATTGATCGCAATCGGCGACTGCGGTCCAGGCTCTGCAAGCCTGATGTAGTCACCCATTGAAAAGTACTCCAGCGCATCCACTTCCTCATCGCGATCGCCTGTGTCGCCACTTAGGTTGCCAAGGGCGGTGTAGACGATGTTGTGATCCAACCTTTAGCTTTTGCAACGCTGGCTCTGCAAACCCATGCAAGTCTGAGTCTTAGCTGGCTTTGTGTAGCTGCCTGCTGCCTCATGATGCAACCTCTCAGTGGCTGGGCATATCTGGCATGTCTGCGTTGCGACTTGGTTCTAGGTCATCTTGCTGCGCGCGTTCTCAAGAACGAACCTTCAGATCAGTAGCTGGCAAAGCTGCATCTTTGGCAGTGCTCCGCTCCAGCCTGCAAATATAGGGATAGCAAACCATACTTGAATGCTGGTGGAGCGGGGCGTGTCTTTCTAAGCATAGTTCAAAGGAACCCATCTGGCTTGCCTTCTGTTCGGGGCAGGACCGCCTCATGGCTTCATGGGCTTTAGGATGGCTGCCAATCCCTCATCAACCCCAAATCTCAACCCTCAATCGCAAAACCCCCCCCCCCCCCCCGACTGCTCCTCTGGGCGCAAAGAGCGCCGAGCTTCGGGAAATTGAGGATCCTCAATCCTAAACTCCATAGAGTGATATAGAACAAACGGAGCGTGGCCTGTGCTCAGTCGACAGCACTCGGTGGGAGCCGGCAGCGCTGCGCGGCTCCCAAGTTCCTGGGGAGCATCGGATTTCTGCAGCAGTCAGTTACCCACTTCTTATTTCATGCAACAAAACATCGTAGCGGCTTTCTCTGCTGCATGGCGACCACTATTAAGGGGCCATGTATCATGACATGTCCTGCCAGGTGTGCTTTAGACTCTTTAGACCTGCTATGGTCCTCGTGGATTGCGCGCTGCGCGGCGACCAGGAGGTCCTCCCCCACCTCCACAGTTTCCGAAGCACCTGGAAGAAAAGAGGATATAAGAGCATGGACGACGCGAGGGCGTGTCATCACGTCCAAGCCCCGTAGGTGGCTGCGTCACAAGCTGCAGACCAGCCCTTCCCGGCCTAGATCCCAATAGCCACCCATACGCCACTTCCAATCCGCACGGCGCTGGAAGAGTACCCGGCCGTCGGGCAAGTGCGGAACCACCTTTGTCTCCCAGAGGGTGAGCTTACAAAAGGTTTCTGAAATGCATCCGGTGCGATCATGCGATGGAATCAATTTGTACTGGCCCTGAGGCTTCTGCGTACACAGTGCGGTGCCACAGGCAGGTCGTTTGTGCCTGCGACACTGCCAGGGATGGATGCATGTGTATGTGTAAGATGTATAATGTATAAGGTAGAATGCAATTGTATTGTGTACAGTGTATCGTCCAGAGTGTCTAGTGCATAAGGTATGCTTAACGTATAAAGTATAAAGCATAAAAAAATGTAAAGTACAAGTTAGAACCCACCCCCGTCCCCCCCTACCCGCCCTCTACCCCAGCCCCCCCACCCCCCCTACTCCCCACCTCAAAGCCTAACAGCACCTTCTGTGGTTTGGGTCGCCTCGTCACGGAGGCTCCGGCCGAGGCGGGTCGCGTAGCGATAACATTATGTATACTGTGTAATGCATTATGAGGCGCATGTACGTGTTTTTTGAATGCGTATACACACATACATATATATATATATTATATATATACATATGTACATATGTACATCTGTAGATCTGTACGTATGCATATATGCTGTCCACTTTCTTTGTTTATGTCGCCTCCCTTCTCTGGTTTCTGGTCCTGCTGGAACTACGATTAGGTATACAAGGGAGTTTACCAAAATGGAGAACCCCTAGAATCGACCCCAATAGTAGGATTCCGTTATCGAAAAGGACCCCAATAAGGTACCCGCAATTTCGGAAACCCCCATATCGACACAAGCAACACTCTGGAGTCCATAAATGGCCTTCAAATAGGTACAGATTCACGAGATTTCATGATCCAATTCACGATTGAACCGACATCAGAAGCAGCACACAAACATCATCAGAGACTCCCTCTTCCATTACTTGAGTGATGATATCAACTGGAATTTAGCTTAAGCATAGATCATCAAATTCCGCAAAAGGATTTATAGAATCATGGCCTTGGATAGTTGGACTTTTTTTACTACTCACATGCATGTTTAAGGAAGTGAATCAGACTAGAATGCTATTCATATTCTGTTCTTCTCAGTGGAAGATTTCAATTCAATTCCAACGCGAATATTCCTATCAGGAGCTAGTTATTCCACTCCTTGAGATATGATCAAAACTGGCCTTGAGCTTCAACAGAAGTACCTAAAACCCGCAATAGAACTTCTGGAATCGCTGTTTATGCCAACCCGTCCCCCTTCTTTGTTTCTAGCTTGACAGGATCCGCTGTGACCGGGTCCGTTTGGAGTTTCAATACTTACGTGCTTACACGCAGGGTAGGCTTCCCGTCTGTGAACTACCTCGCCTTCCCTGCCATCCCCACCCGTTACCTCTCTTGAACCCAGCTGGACCCTCCCGAAAGCCGGTCCAATGCGGGACTCTCCATGGGCCTCCGATGGCCGTTTCCCAAAGCCGCCCCCAACTGCAAAAGCTCCCAACCCAACCACCCTACTTCCCATAAATACCCCCTCTTCTATGCACCCCTGCGGGGGGGGGACATGAGAATACTTGTTCATGTTCCTTAGCTGTATTCATACAGGTGGCATCGACAGGTCTCGGAGGGCTGCTTGCACTCCTAGTGCACTCCTAGTCTCATGAAAGGCACTTCAGTGCTTGGGGCCGTAAGGTCGTACACACACACACGTACACTTAACTCGGGATGCTTTGCATGGAAACCCCCCGCACCTGCCAAGCAGTGCGAACTCCCAAGTGCTGGCCGTCACTGTCGTAGACGTCCACAGGATCGCTCCAAGACGGGTGTGAAGGAGCCGCTCCAACTTGACCTGCAGAGGACAGGGTCTTCGCGCGTCTGCGGATATAAACACAGATATACATCAATAATTAAATTAAAAAAAAATATATATATATAATACATTTATATTTATATCTATACTTAGATTTATCTTTATCTTTATATTTATGCTTTATTTGTATTTGTTCATTTCATTTCTTCATGTATACATACATACCTACATACATACATACATACAGACATACATACATAGAAAAATAATACATATATGAGCGACGGACAAAATTACTTTACACGGTGCGAGGTCGCGGGATACCACGTTATCGCTTTACGTGGGGCCCATATCGCTTTGCATACTATGGGACTGCGGGACCACATCAAGCAAAACAGGTTGAAATGTGGTAACTAAGGTTATCGCTTTAGGTGGGGCCCATATCGCTTTCCATGGTTTACTGATGTTCGCAACAACTCGTGTCCACCGTAGTACTGGCTTCAAGAAACATAATTTTGGCAGGCGCTCATATACATATATATATATATATGTATAGATATATATATATATATATATATATTAGATATGTATATATATGTTGAAAGACTGAAAGAGTGCCCTCTGCACCTGCATCGTAAGGGCCCCAGGGACTTGGCCAGCAAGGGGTGACCTCAAATATGACAACGCCACGAAGCACACCAACTTTTCCATGGCCGCACATATGAGATCATGCATGCGTTTATTCATACGAGAATTACAACCTACGACCTTTACAATGTTTATAGGTGACCCTCCATTCGCTTCCAAGCCGCATTCCAGCCGGCGTGCAGCGCGCGCCGAAGGCAGCCTCTCTCCAAGTACGCCGTGTGATCTAACCAGCAAAGGAAAATGGCAACCTGAGATTCAACATAAGTACTATGCGTGCATGGAAATGTCATGTAACCCATGAAGACCTTGAAGGAAGCCCGTTGTTGTGTTTCAGGGAGCCATGGAGCACTCCCCAACACTAAATTCACCAATGCACGGAAGCTAATGCTAGCTGCTACCGAGAATCCGAGCACCAAACCCTGTGCATTGTCCGCTTGAGTTTGATTCGTTGTCATATTCTGAACCACAATCGGGGAACGAGGTGTGTGCAGTTTGCTTCTGTTACGCATGCATTGTCCTCCAGCCAGGCCCCACCCTGAAGACCCTGGGGAATGTGACTTGTTCTTTCTGGCTTCTGAAAAAAAACGCCAGCATTGGCGAGTACAGAGTTTGAGGCTGCTCCAGGCAAGGGTGGGAGGCCTCCAAGCGTCTCTTCAGGTTCTGCGACACTGAGACCTCTGTGGCTTCCAAGCTGTTCTGAGAGAGAGACTTTCTCTTAGTGATCACCGGTGCTTCTACGACCCTAACCTTGATAAACTTCTTGTGCACCGCCGATACTTTTGCAGCAGGACACTCCACAGCAGCCAGTGCCATTGCATCAAGAACACTGGTGCTGAATCTTGGCCCACAGGGCTTGCTGAGGAGCGGCCTCTTGCCGTCTCACAAGGGACATTAACACTTGGGGGTTTCCGAAAGTAGGGGTATATGACGCTTTTCGGGGGTGTACCTCTATTTTTGGAAATAACCCATTTCTGAACAGGCTGTTGGCAACTTTACCAACTTGTACCTTGTGCTGACCCACCATGGCAGTTTGTGCTGTCCAAGCCAGACTCTGCAGGCCATCGTCGTCTTGCTCGGCACAATCCCTTCCCGGCGCCCACATGGGAGCAACTGTTATTTCTATGGCAGGGCGTCGGGTATCACACGAGGCTCCTCTCACAGATTTAAGCCGAAATAATGTCTGTCACGACTTGTTGCATGAGAGACGTGTAGGGGCTTGTCCGCAAATCCTGGTAGCAGCAGCGCAATCTGTTTCATACATTCTCATCCCAGCATGAGATTTGCGGACCCCAGTGATTGAGACTTTGGCGACGGCATCAGACGCTGGGACTTGAGCTCCGCGTCTGAGCACTCGGCCTGTGGCCACTTAAGCACCATTTGCACCATCCCTTCATCCTCTTCCTTCGAGTACCCTCACCCCTACTGTCTGCAGAAGCCCGCGACACTCCTGAAGATCAGCAAGAATAAGGCTCCTTCCCCTTCTGCCTCGGCTTACTCCAGGCGTTCCTTGGCAGCGGAGTGCGCGAGCGCAGAACAGACGGCGTCACGCAGCCGTGTAACTCTGCAACTCTGCAAGTTGGACTCTGAGCGAAACACATCGCTGACGGGACGTAGCAGCAGGCCCAACCTTGGGAGACAGTGCAGACATGCCTCACCCAGTCTCGCTCCCGTCGCACAGAGCTTGACTTGAGAGCGATTCCGTGCGATTGCGCTTGCATGCTTGAAGCTGTGGTGTTGCGTGCGTGGGCAGCGATGGCTTTCTCTCGCTCTGCTGAAGCGCAAGGTATTCTCGCAGCATCTCCACGTCATCCTGGTCTGCGTCGCTGGCCTGTGTAACTGCCACGCCCACAGGTGCACAGCACCCAGACTGACGACACAGCATGCCCATGTCCGCCATATGCTCTCTCTTACGCATCCAAGCCACAGCCGATGTCACATTGTCTCGGAGGTTCAGCATGAGAGCAAGGACGCGGGATGCAGCCCGCTTCCCGGACTCCACAGCAGGCTGGTTGTAGGCATTGACCTTGCAAAGTCACAGAGCTTCAGCCACCATCACTCCGACAATGAGCAACAGGAAAATCATCAAGTTACTATCAAGTTCATGATACAGTACTTGCTAGCCGCTCACCTGGGCCAGCTACTCCAATCAAGGCAGCATAGAGCCCGACCGCCCTCTCAAACAGAGCGAGAAGTACCTCAGTCATCACCAGTAGAGGCAATCATGCACAGCCGTGAACCTTGTTGCTGTTCTTCTTGCTGCTGCAGTTGCTGCTACTGCTCATGCTACACTTCTTGATGCTGACGTTGTGGAGGTTGGTGGCGCGCATGTTCGGGGTTCTTTATGGGCAAAGCCCAGATGCTGTATTGAGAGCTCTGGGCTCCCTAAGCCCCCCAATGGTCCTCAGTGAATCTTAGGCCCAACAGTTCCTAAAGCTCCTTTAAAGCCTGAGGGATTCTTTCTCTAGCCAGACACTACCCGTGCGAACCAAAGAACCACCCCCTTGTCAGCCAAAGGTGCTCCCAAATGGAAAGCATCCACACGCTGCAACGTGATGGTAAGGCTCCTTCGGGCATGCTGAAGAGCAGGGAAAGAACAACATCTTCCAATGCGTTCAGTGGGGACCGTCAAAAGCCCAGGCATAGTTAAAAGTGAGCATGGACGATCGTCACGTCAATCAATCCACACGCGGCCGGATCACACTCCGAGCTTGAAAGCCTGAGCCGCAATGCCGTCCTACGTCCGGCCGCAGTCAGCGCACGTCGTGTGCCGATGAGGAAAGCCAAGAGATAGTCGCTGCTGGTGACTCCGGTTTCGACCTGGTCCATGTTCAGTGTACACCCCTTATAAGATCTCCTGCTGCTGATTGCCTTAGGCACTGGCCTCCTTGCTTTCCTTGTCATGAGCTCCCTCGAGAGCCGCGACGAAAACGGCAAAGTAATCATCAGGGCCGTCCAGTAGCTGCTGCAAAAGGGCCTGTCAAGGACGCGAGAAACCTCACCACGTTGGGTGCAATGCTGCGCAATAGGAATGGGAACGCTTTTGCTTTTTTCGGCAGGCAAGTCGTTGCTTTTGTTGTGCTCGACCGCCTTTGGTTCTTGACGCGGTCCCCTTGATGGGGGCTGGGAATCCTCGTTCCGGAACGCCCGCGCACACCGTGTGGGGCTCACGTCGGGTCGCTAGCCCGAATGGGGGTGGGAGTAGAGTAGAGAGGAACCGTGGAGCATAAACAAAACTGCCGATGGAAAGAAACACAATCTCGTAAACTGTGGAGGAACGAGAGGGGCCAAGCATAAGCATAAGCACGTAGCATAGTACTCGTATTTTGAAGAAGCCTGCCCTTAGCCCCCCCCCCCCTTTTTGAAATTCAGCGGCCGAACTTTCTCTTCCACACAAAGCACAGCAGAAATTGGCCAAGCCTAGTTTGCAGACCAAGGGGCATGCTGGTCCGTCGATCCCTTGTTCCCGTACACTGTCAGGCCGTGGTTCACCAAGGTACCCTGCACGTCCCTTGCCTCACAGTGCAGCTCAAGCAGGCACAATGGATAAGCACTGATAAGCACCAACATCAGCAGCTGCGTCGTCAACATATGAGTTGTTCTAAGGGTCCACGTATACCACCTTTACCAGCTTTCCAGGACCCCTTATAAACAATATTAAACAAAGACCTCCAAAGGGGACCCCCCCCCCCTCCCAGATTTTTGAAAGACCCTGTCGTTTCCTCTGTCGGTGGCCTTGCCGAGAGACTCCATCACCAACTGCTGCAAGTAGCGCCCAAACAGCTGCAACCGGTCCCTGCCCAGATGCCAGGAGGGTGGATGAGAAGTACTGCGTGGGAAGAATACTCTGGTGGCGGATTTACGTGACGCGGGAAAAATGAGCTGATCGTCAGGGAGCTGTTCCTTCTTGCCATCCGAAGCGACATGCCACAGGCCTGTATGGCAAGACCACCATGGCGCGCCCCGCAAGAGAATGCCAGGCACGAACCAGCAGGGTGGCAGGGTTCCTTAGTCTATAGCGACACAGAAAACAAGATGCACAAGTCCCAGGCCAGCGAAACTGTCAGCGAAAACAGCACGAGTCTTTCAAAACCACGTCTGCAGGTAAGGCACTCGGCATCTGCAACTCGGGTGGAAGCATCGCAGGCGGCTGCACCCCTATAGAGCTGCAACTGATCATCAAAGAGGAAGCCTTTTCGCCACCCTCACAGATCTTAGGAGCCGGCCTCAGGAGAGATCTCCAGTCCATGCCCAAAAGTGCCGCGGGCAGCAGGCCTGGGCACCACGTCGTGCAGAAGGTGCCTTATATAAGGGTTCCCCAAAGAAACGAAGCAAGAGGCTGCCGTCAAGGCTCCCACAACAGAAGCCCAGGAGGTCCGACCCCCAACGAACTCCCAAAGGTGGAGCCTGAAGAGAAAAGTGCAAGGCACAACAAAACACCAGAATTCCCCCGGTGAGCATAACACAACTGCAGAACTGAGCAATGTGCCGGTCACGCCAGTTCTCTTTGATGGCCATCTGATCCTCCGGCATGAGGGAGGGTTGGCTGGTCATAGTGGCTCATGTCGGGAATTTACAAAGTTAAAGCTCTCAAAGCACTCGTGTGAGACAGCCTCAGTCTACTGCATTCTGCCACCAGTCCAGGCGTGAGCCGGCGCAGGTCACGGCCAAAGACCGTGAGGCGAAGTCCACGCCACGGGAGCGGAAGTGTGCCTCAAGCAAAGCGCACGGACACCTTTTCAACAATATTGACAGCTTTCAATACAACAGTAATCAAAATATTTCTAATCTAAGGTACTCCCGACATCTTCGACCTGTCCAGGCCTTCGTCTCGATCAAGGCGTTGCGTGTCTCAACCGTCCCACCGGACTTGGACATCACCAGAACCTGGCGAGGGTTCCAGACTGCTGGGCAGAACCCAACAAAGCACAACAAGCATGTTCCGACATCACTGGTCTTTATTCCTATATATACACATATATATATATAATGATTCTGAATACTGTTTCAAAAACAATTTAAGACGACAATCGGTTACACTCAGAAAACACAGCCAGAGCAGCCCACGTAGAGGCTGGCTCGATCGTGCTCAGCACCATGTGGAAGCCATCAGGGTCCTCAGGGCTCTACAGCGGTTATTTGGGGTTGCACGTGGCTACGTAGGGTTATACGTACAGGGTTACACAGCTTTACTTGGTGATTGAGGGGTACAGAGGGTTTTGGAGGCTAGGGTTTTCTAGATCCGCCAAGAGGTGCAAAGGAGCCCCAAGGAAGGCCGGTCCGTGTTGTCAAGGAAAGCAATCCGCCGTGATCCCGGGCCCAAGGCCTGCTCGAGTTTTGGGGCTATAGGAGCATCACCCGACCTTAGACCTTGCGGATGTTCTATGGGACGTTGATTCATGTCATGGTTCTGACACAGATCGGCGTACATGCAAAGGTCGATGCTGCTTGACTTTCGACATGCCGTACATTCCAGCCACGTGTGGACATCGAAGCTTGCAAACATCTCATCCTGCGACCAGTACGAGATACGAGGTGTTTGGGTAGCAGGAAGGAGGGGATTGAGGGGGTTATGTGGTGCCTCCGTGAGAGGTCAAAGACTCCTCGATATCCCGCGCTCGCCTCTGACAAGAGCTGCGGGCCGAGGGCTGAGCCGCCGATGCCCAGAAGGAGCAGCGAAGTGACATTCCCTCAGGTGTTTTCGGACTCTGGCCATGGGACTGTATGGGACTTACCATGACTTACCTGCTCTTTGCATCCTTTCGCATGTCTCATGAATGTCTGTGGCTACACAACTTCATAGACTGCGCCTGACGTGGCACAGAGCCAATCCGACCGACAAGATGCTCAAGGAGACGAGCTGCTTGCAGAGGCCTCCCGTGTAAGATAATCAATCTGCGCCTCGGCTTTCGTGCAGGTCTTGACTGGTAAAGAGTCTCTCCTGTGCTCAGACTTAGACCAAGTAACCCAGCTGCTGTAGATCTCCTCACGTATCTCCTGCCATGGCAGGGAAAATATGAAAAACTCATGGAGAATCATGGAAACCGTTGAACAAAAGCTTCGGAACCCCAAAGGCCTCCGGAGCGAGCCCAGGATCCCTAAGCCAGTAGTGCCCGACCTCCGCAAGTTGTCACATCGCGTGCCACCCTATAGGGTCCCCTTTTTTGGTGAGAAAGTCTCTTGACATATTGAAGTACGATGAGGGAACGAGGGGGCCGTGGGAGGGTCCTTGCAGTGCCCTCTTTCTGTGAGGAACAGCGTTCCTAGATGAGTAGATGAGATGCTGGCACCCAACAAAACATTCGGCAAAGCATCTCTAGTACTCCATCCCCAAGGAACAACAGGCAGCAAAAGCAAAGCAATTTGTCGCCCCTTTTCAAGGAGTCCAGGACACCAGCCGGTCTTGCAGTCAAACGTACGCGGCACGTGACTGCTCTTTGTCGCTCTGGAACTCAACCCACCGATGGATGGTCCGGATCTGTTTTGGGTAGGGGTAGCGGATGCTGAGAGACTGTGGCGAGTTAATGGCAAGACCGTCAGTTCTCGACATCGGGGTCCCTGTCGGGTAGGATATTCGGGCCCAGAACGGGAAAGCAGGTCAACTGACCAAATCGCCTCCAACAATGAGGCTGACGCCTGCAAACGATGACCCAGGTTCTGCTCCAACAAGGCGGCAGAAACAATGCTGATCTGCCTGATTCCTGATCAACCAACCACCATGGTACACTGCTGTAGCAGTACTCGGTTATGGTACACTACGTCTTCATTGGCATGAGGCATATGAGGCATACGAGGCATACGAGGCATATGAGGCATATGAGGCATATGAGGCATCCAGGTCATAAGTCATCAGCCGCAAGTTGGCTACTTTCTTGCCAGCCCTGCTTTAAGCAGGACCTGGCAGGGGAACATGCTCGAACGAGCCAGGGGGCATGTGTTATCCCTCTCCGCGTGTGACGTAATAGTCGACACAAAGAGCGGACAATGTGTGCGGGCCACACATGTGAACCGAAAATATTTGCCAAACATGAATTCGAGATCCTTCCTGTCTGTTTTTACAGAGCACTCGAGGTTTCAAGGAAGGGTCCTGTCAGTGTTTGGAAGATTCAGCACGAAGCTCAGAAATATTGCTCAACATAGCCGTCTCTGGTCAGTGACGTCACTCTCCGGCATTCGTCTGGATTACCCTCCAGAGCTTCCATGAGGAAACCTTGCTGGGTTTGGGGATTGTGCACAGCTTGGGGCATTCCTCTTGGGTTCCATCAAGAAACCATGTTGCAGATTATGCTGGACTAGATGCATAGATGCTATACGATAGAAACCCAGCAACTTGTAACCGTCCGAAAGTTAAGAAATAATCTGATATCATATATATATATATATACACGTAGACATACTGCACCATACAATATTCATGTACATTAGCCGGCTATGGTATGTTCTTCAACAGTACACTTCAGAGTTTTTTTTTCCGAGAAACGCGGCACCAACTGGCGGCGTGCGAAGTCTGTTGCAGTCCATCCGCGAAGATTGCGCAAATCAAGTCTGGCTCCCGCTGTTATAAGGGCTGCAGCACCTGAGGCATTCAGGGGCCTGCGGCAGCTGAGGTACGTAGCATGTGTTGGGACGCACCAGAAGTAGTCAGCTGTAGGATACATAGTGCATTACATTTTCACGCTGATAAACTGAATTTCTTTACTGGAGCATACGGTGTAGTACTTTCTCGCAATCTCTATTGGCGTAGTTGTGGTAGGGGCTCCAGCGCCTGTGTATTGCGATGTGTTCATGGCTAACATCAATGGCGTCGCACCAGGCAGGTGATAAAATGATCTTGTGCAAGCTGTAGGAGTCCCATATCTGTGCTGAAGAGACTTCACCGTTGTCAAGACTCCAAATAGCCGGGACTTCTTCCACAAACTGCACGACCCGTTCGCATCGGCTTTCAACTCAATCAGCCATTCCACCAACTCTGCGCTGCCTCCACGATGCATCATTGCGCAAACAAGAGCACTGGTTGCATCAGGTGCACCAATGCTCCGTACCCTGAGGAGTTCGTCCATGGCAGCTCTCGAACCACAGGCGCTAGCGGATTCAAAAGCAGAGATGCCGAAAATGTTCCGCGCGTGCGGACTGCAACCAGCTTCACAAAGAAGGCGGATTCCTTCCGGATTGTTGGCATCAGCAGCAGCCGTCATGGGCCCACGAATGAAGAGACCACTGCTGTTCACATCGGCTCTTGCAGAAATCAGCAGGCGCGCCGCCTCATTGTGCTTGTAGAAAAGGCAGATTGCAAGCACAGGAGTCAATGGCGGCATCCCCACTCGCGGCTGGTCCTTCCTCGTCTTGCTATTCGGGTCTGCCCTCATCGCCAGCAAGCCTTGGATCAAGGACGGGTCACCACGCAGGGCCGCATAGTGCAAGGGCGACCATCCAGTCTTATCCTGCTGACGCACCCGTGCGAAGCCCATCTGGTAAAGGAACTTCGCGACCTGCAAATGTTGGCTCTCCGGGTTCTTCGCGTTCAATTCGAAACCCGGGACTGGCTCATAGAGCCCGTTCACGGCAAGGCCCTTCAAAAGCACCGCCTGCAAGTTCAGAAGGATGCGGTAGCTTACCTGAGACCAGCACTCCGAGCAATTTCCCCTCACAACGCCTGAAAATCCAAGTCCGCGTAGTAAGGAGTAGGCAGTACTGTGACAAATGCAGCAAGATCACCACAAAGCACACTAGCGCGGCACGAGATTCCGTGCTCAAGTGCAGCCTCTTTCGAACAAATGTCGCGCAACCTAGCTTCAGAAGCTTCATACAAGTTACGAGATCTTGGGCACGCAGGAGCGAGTCGATCTTACGCCTCAGGGCTTCGGCAAAGATCGGAGCCAGTTGGTTGAGATCCTGCAAGCACGGTGTGGCTCTGGATGCAGTAAGTTGGGGCCTTTAGGGTTTGGGATCTAGTGTCTTTTTTGTGCCAGGTTCAAGCAGGAACGGACTTCACAGCACGACTTTCCCACGCCCCTCGGTCCTCCGGAACAGTGAACAGGCCTTCCCCAGCTGGCCCACCCCCGACAGATGCTTCTTGCCTTTCTTTGTCCAGTCACACGTTTAGAACCAAAAAGACTTACATTCCTACTGGACTCCGAACCTCTAAGCCCCACCCCGAACCTAAAGCCAAACCTTTCGATAGATAAAGAGGAAAAGTCAGCCGGACTGTTGAGTTCTGCCGGGTGGCCCAATGACCAACTCCAGGTTCGCTGAACTTTTGACGATCACCCAGGACTCGTCCTGGAGTTTACGAACATAGGGGACCCTTCATAGAGACCCCTAATAGCAGGATTCGGTTATGATCAGGATTCCGATAGAATACCCTTGATCGCGAAAGCCCCCATCTCACGATAGTCCCCAAACTGAGGCCGTGGGGCTGGGGGAGTCTCTCAAACAATTGCACACCTGATTAAGGGGTCCTAACTCCAAACCCTCCCCCCTCCAGATTTGGGTGGAAGGTCAGATACGAATTTGTGGCGGGTAGTATAATGGAGGTTTTATATATACACACATTTGTATACACACACACACACATGGAGGTTGTTCTTTGCTCAGGGCCTTTGCCCGTACCGAACCTCGCCCTTGTTTTCGTACCGTTGTTGGAATTGTTCGAGTCTTAGAAGATGAAATCGCGGAATCAAATCGCTGCGATTTAAACACGCAGGCCCAAATCGCTTCTTATTTGGTCGTATTCAACCGTTGGAAACGCAAATCGCGCGATTCGGGTTTCCAATGCCAAATCGCAGCTTGTGCTGCTTTCAAGCAGCACTCGTGAGAAGTGGGTTCAATGATTTTTGCGGGTTTGGGAAAAATCATTTAGCCAGCTTGGGCCCAAGGACTTTGTCACTATTTCAGAAGTTCAAGTTCAGGGGCGCTTTTAGGAAGCCTTGAATAACCGGAAACTCAGATTCAGAGAGGTGCTGGAAAGCCTTCAGTTGTTTGGAAATTCAGTTTACGGAGCCATTCGAAGGCCCTCATTGGTCTCGAAACTCGCACGTAGCGAAGTACAGATTTTCTTTCATGTATATTTGAGTAAGAGTTTAGAGTTTAGGGCTTAAGCTAAACACCCTCTCGCCCAACCCAAACTAGGCTTTCAATGTATGAAACAATCAGGTTGAGATTTTATCTAGAAAAGTACCATGTTCAACGACTTACTTCCGAGAGCACTGTGTGTTTTTTGGTTTGTACCGAACCTGGTCCTTCTGATGTGGGGGTGGGGTGGGGGGGGTGGGGGGGTTGAGCACGAAATGATTTTTGCAGGCCCTGGCAAAAATCATTTCTGATGTTTTCCCTTCAAGGTTTATGGGTTCAAGACTTAGGATAAGTGTTTAGAACCTGGTTCTTCTGAAGGGTGGGGGGGGGGTCGAGCACCAAATAACCCTCAACCCTCAACCCTCCACCCTCGACCCCTAAACCCTAAACATCCCTAAACCCTCAACCTTAAACCGGAGTCGAGGGACCCATTCAAATCGCGCGATTCGGGCTTTCCCCAAACGCGGCGATTTCAAAACGCCGCGATTCTAACATCTAAGGTTCGAGTTGTTGGAATACACTATCGTAAGAATGAATACTGCGCCAACACCCAGGAATCGTCCTTGCCCAGTTCCCGAAGGGCTCGCTCGACCCTGCAATGCACATGTCGATCAGGGAATTGGGATGAAGTGGGCAATGCAGGGTCTTGGGGCTGTGTGCGCAAGATGCTCAGTAAGTATGCAGCTGTATCGCGGTCCGAGGCTGAAGAACGGTATCAAGGCGGGCGTAGCTTGAGGATGTCAATGGTGCTGGACTAATTAGTTGTGGTAAGAGGGCAGGCACAAACTAGGCTGCAACTGAGACAGCTTGCCATAGCCTTGACCGTGGTATATCTTGGCAATATGTTCGCCGTACTAGCATTACTGAGATTTCTACGAATACGTTCGCAGAAAAAGTACTTCGGCATGGCCTGCACCAACCTCGGTCTGCCCAGGATGATGGGGTGTACACCGTGCACTGAGCGTCATCTTCGACAACTGGGCAGAGCGCGAAGAAGAACGTGCTCTCCGCAACATATGCAGGGATGCTGTTTATGGCATTGGTCAGCAATCTCTCGCCCGAAGGGGAGATGGCATTGTTCTGTTGGCTGAGCTCTAGCTGCGGGCAAGAGAAGTAGTCGTACCAGATGAAGAGAGGTGCTGCAAAAAGCTCCGACGTAGGTAAGCCTTTGGCACTCGGAAACATCGTCTCTGCCACGAGGTCAACTGGAATTGATTGCAAGCCAGCCCTCGCATATTGTAAAGCTTCCTGCAACACCTTGAACTGCTTAAACTCTGGATCTGGATGGCGGATCCCAACCCATTGGTGGGAAACAAAGAGTGCCTTGCCCAAGGTACTGTGGAAATTGATGAGCTTGCCCTCATCCTTTAGCTCCTCGTGCGGGGAGATCTTCGTCATCCGCAGCACCACGTCCAGTGCCACAGTGTACATGGGGAACAGCATTGGACTCCTTGCCGATTCCCCCGTTGTCTGCAAAGATGTGGCATACTGGGCCAAGGGGCTCACCGTACGAGCCCCGCAGAACGGCATGGCCAGCACAGCGGTGGGATAAGGTCAGCCTTTTGGACTGGGCAGCTACATCTTGATGAAAGGCAAGGTTGACAGGCATCATAAATAACAAATCATAAGCCTGTGGGCGTATGGGGGTCGCAGAGTCAAGAAGTTTCAGCCACAGCAGAAGCGCATGCAGGGGATCCAGCAACGAAGACATCAAGTCTGTCGTTTTGACAGTCTCGAGTACTCAGGAACGCACTTGCCGGCCTTCGTCCGGATTGGCTACCTCTCCTGCCAATAAATACTCAATGAATCATTCGTCACAGAATCGCCTTGTCCAGAAAAGGAAAGGAGTTTATGAAGACTGCGTGTTGCCACGTGTTGTCACTTACATGGTGTACCCAGTGTACTCCAGAACCATCAGTAAAAACAACAACAGCAACGACAGCAACATCCTCGTTCCAGAGCGGCCATCGACTCGAAGGCCTCTTGAAGTGGCGGTGCGCTGGGTAGTTGCAGACGACGAGCATCGACTGTAAGACCTCAGGGACTCTTGGAGAAGCAGAGTGAGTCGCGTGGACATGCATGGGCTTTGTGCGCATGTGTGTGATTCATGGCAGTGCATGGTTCTGTGATGGGGCCGAGAAGCCAAGCGATTTGCTCCTAACGATAGTATCAGCGTCACAATGGGCAGCATCGTCAGCGAGTGCTCCAATCGCAGCCCAGATGAACCGGGCATTCCTGCCATCACGCTGTGTCTTCGTCAGTGGAACAGGCCCCAATGCTGCTAAATAATCAGGCAAGCCCCCCCCCCCTGATGCTTTGATGTGTTGTTAAGAGTCACATATAGTGAATTAGAACAAAATGCCAGCTTCCAGGCCTCGAATTAAAAGCTTGCGGCATCCATGCTCGATTTCAGGCAACTTCAGAAGCAATGATATTATGGCAGGGCTTCATGGCTAGCTCGCGCTGCGACTGCTCACGAGGTGCGTTCGCCAACCTTTTGCATGCACTGTGTGGACTCGCCGTCTGCTTGGAGCCAAGAGGTCTCATCCGCAACAATACAAAGCAGACTGGCAGTGACTAGCATGGACTGGAAGACTGGCATGCGGCATCCGCGTCTTCCACGAAATCCTTGAAGCGTAGCTTCTGCAGGCAGTAGCTGAGCTAGGGGCTGGGGGTGCTGCAGAAGCATCCAGCCCTGGCCGTGATGCATCGTCGGGTAGGACTGGCTGAGCATTCAACGGCGTCTGGCCTCCTCACCACTTTCTGAATCTTCCATCTTCCGCCACTTTCCGTCAGCCTGAAATCTGAGATCCAAGAGGCCACGACGCGGCTACAGTCGAGGGTCACAATGTGTCACACAGTGGCCCAACTTCTTGCCCGGTCTGAGGACACTACACTCTCCTCGAAGAGTTCCACGAGCTGCCCCAGAATTCGGGTTCCAACCTCACTGTTCTGCTCGGCTAATCTCATGCTTGAATACCTGCGTGGATCTGCGATGTACCCTCACAGCAGTCCCCCCCCGAGTCTCTAACCATATCCGCTGTTGTGCTTGGCAAGTATCGAATTGCCACAGCCTTGTGCAGCACCTGTTGCCAAGTTGCAGTACTTGAGTTGCAAGCGTCCGTTGACACACCACGAGATCGCAAAAGTGGGTCATCCAACAGAGTCTCTTGGCCTCATGGAGCTTCCCTCCCTTCCGCCGCGGAAGTTTCGGCTCGCCTTCGAGTCGACGCTGAACAACCACTCAATTCTACTTTCGACACTTCAGGACAGTTTGGCCTTCTGCTTCAGCTGCGAATGGAGTCGCTGCAGGCTGCGCCGGCTGTGTCCTTCTGAACACAGACGCAGGCCTAAACAGTCCAAACCCTGCGGCTTACTTTGTGGGGCCATCCAACAAGCAGCATCAGCTTGGTCTGCCCAGCGAACCCAGCATCAACACTTAAAAGGACGGCTCGCTTGAAACTCATGCGGGAGCTGCTGGGCTACCCGAAGCATGTCGTGTCGCTGTACACAACTGCGGGCTCTGTTTGTTTAAACGCAGACATCAACAATGCAGCATGCAGCTTCGTATCGCCACATTTGAGTTGACGCTTGTCCTTGGCTCAGCCGGCAGGAGCTGTGGAGCCTTTAATGTCCGGCAATGGCAAGCAAGTTCGAAGACCACGATCTCTATCGGAGTGTTCAGACCACTCCAAAAATAGGAAGACTCTCTCTCCCCCCAACTTCACCCCTGCATCCCCATGTCTCAGACACTCTTGCGACTTTGGAGCATGAAAAGCCCTAAACAAGCCCTTTGTAACTTTCCTAGCACTGCATTGTCACAACATGCAAGCCCTAGACAACCTTATATACATTCCCAACCCCAGGCCCTAAACCCCAGGCATACACCTGAAACCCCGTCAGCCGCACATCGGGCCTCGGCTTCATCGAGTTGCTCCAAGATCCTGCTTCGAGCAGATCTAACCCTTGGTCTTGAAAGAACTGCTGCGTACCGCGTAGCGGCATACTCTGACAGACGCGTTAACGACACCGACTCCACGCAACACAAGGAGCAAGCTTCACTGCAATGGCATGCATAATGCATGGTTTCAGCCTGTCAGCAGCCAGCCGGGCATCCAACGTGAGGTCAGCAAGAGCAGCCTGGCTCACAGACAGCAGCCACGATCGGCCTTGTGAAATGATACTCTCTTCCTGATATATAACTACCATCGCAAAGTAGAAGATAGTAGAACTTTGTTGCAGCTTGAATAGGACACAGACGAAGCATCTGAAGACATATGAAAAAGCACACAACGTCTCCCGAACGCCTGCAGAGTGGTATCGTCCTCCACCATGTGGCCCAGGAGCGCCTCCCAAGCCAAGGCCCACCGCCCTAGCCCAGCAATCTGAAATCGCTTTCATGCATTTTAACACTGGGAGCCTTTGAAACTGGGGGCACTGGGGACGATACAGGAGAGAAGCGCCTGGATCAGCGCTCGGACGTTATCACTTCCAGCATTCCTGGCAAAGCTGTTTGCTCCGGTCCGGAAATTCAACAGAGTTCATGGGGATGGCCTGATCGCTGCATCCCCCGCTGCGGTTGTCGTCACGGCGCCCGCCTCTCGTGAATGGGGCATAGTTCCTTCAAAGTCAATCCTGCGCCAACATACCCCATTGGGTCCGCGGGGCGACAGGGACCTCGATAAGATGAACGGCGCAGTCCCTGGCATCAGCCAGCCTTGGTCATGAGATCGAAAACCATGAACATCAAAAGGTCACGCTTGCAGAAACATAGGTCTCTAAACCCTAAACCCTAAACCCTAAAAACCCTAAACCCGGTGGCCTTTCATGGTAGTTTGTGGACTGGCATGGGGCTCAATGCCGAGGCACGCGGCCAAGGCCAGCGCGGACATGCCGCCGGCATCGCAGGCACATGGGTCGTGTCCTGTGATGGTTTGCCGGGGTTCAATAGAATAAACGAATAAATGATATCTATGTATTTATTCACCTCTACTATGTGTATTCATTTATGTCATATAGCGACTAGGCGTACATATACGAGAATATCATGCGTATATAATGTGTATATGTACATATATTATATAAGGCAAAAACATATAAGATACGATAATTTACACAGGCTTGAAGTGGTTTAAGACAGCACCCAAACCTTGAAGAGTCCAAGTCTGTGCACCCAAACCCCTGAAGCACCTGACAGCCCAGTCTCAACCTCAGGACCAACCACTGCCCCCACTCCATCCCTCCCAAGATGCTCAAAACCCGGCCCCCAAAAATCGGGTCGAAGACTTAGGGATTTAGATGTTTCATGTTGCCTCTCGTTTCTCCCTTTTTTGGGTGTGGGGTGGGGTAAGGGGTAAGGGGCAATCCCCCACCTTCGCCAAGGAAGCGCTTCAGCTCCCCCAGCTGCCCCTCGGCGGCCGCTGCGCAGAGAGGCTCCAGGGGCCGAGCGCAGAGAGGCGCTCCCTCCAGGGCTTTGTGGTTGAGGAATGCTTGGGGTATGAATGGGTATGATGTGTGGGTGCTTGTTCTTGCCTGTTGTGGTAGCCTGTTGTGGTACTGTAGGCCCTGGGCGAATCCACGTTTTGTTCCTCCGGACCTCCGGAGAATCCACCGCAAATCCCACGAAGTACTCCCGTCCTGCAGAGAATTCCGCAGAGTATCAGTGGAGTGCCCACTTCCAGAGAAGTCTGCGGCGAAGCACCCCCATGGAGCGCATGTCCCCCAGAGCAGCCAGCAGAGAATCCCACCAAGCATTGTATCCCTACAGCAAACGTTCTAACACCATATCCCTGAGCGCCGTTACGTTTGTCGCGGGGCTATTCGTTGCTTTTTTGCTGTTGGGTGGGCGGGTGGTGGGGGAGGTTGTGGGAACGGGGTGAGGGGTGTCTCTTTGGTGCCTTTTCAAAGCATAAGGGAGATCATGTGCAGGTTTATGGCGGCCTCGAGTTTTTTTCTCAGATCCATTCCCCGTAATGGCCTTGGGCCGGACCAAAGGGCCAAATTCAGGGTGGTCGAGCAGCACCCAGCCCACGGTGGTGGCACGCCTCAGCTATCGGAAACTATCGGGCTGTTGGCAGGTCTTAACACGCTCACTGAGGTGAACGAGTCGCTGACGCATCTGCAGCACAGCGCCGCCATTTGCGCGTGGAATCCCACTCGAATAGCTCCAGGTCTTCGCCTTTCCTGAAATCGCACAGTCGGAATCGGAAAGTGTATGGCTTGCAAGCGGACGTCGGAGCTGCATTTTGTTGTCGAAGAGTCTGTTTGATCTCCAAGGTCGTCGAGGTCGTGCTGGCTGCAGACCGAATGGCAACTCGTTCATACCTTGCACAACGCTGACCGCCACCACTAGCATGCAGCAAGGACACAGCTTCGTGAAGCTGAAGCAATCTGAAGTCTGAAGCAGCATCTTACCCCTAGTTTTGCCAGGCTGCAGAACCTCGTAGACAGCTCCGTCCCCAACTGGCAAGAGCGGCGTATCGGTCATGGAGGTCTCCGGACGAATCCTGCATCAGGAACCCCAAGCCGCAACTGCAAATACCCCCGAAACCCTAGTGCCGGAAGAAGAATCAGGCAAGACTCCGGCAAGACCATGCCAACGCAGCAAAGGAGCAGAGTTCGTGCTGGCGACTTCTCTTGCTGCCGTTGATCCTGCAGAAGCGTGTGCAACCCAGCTTACATCTTGCATGGGCTGCTCGTAACAGCAAGGCCCGTAGCGCTGAGAGAAGGGCAGGGCTCAACCCCAGGTAGTATTGGTGCCAAGGCACAATGTAGCCTGCGTCTGTGTCCGCCCGGCCAAAGAGCATCTGACCAAGCAGCTTGTCCTGCTCCTGTCTAGCAACAGCAGCAGGACGCGTTTTGCCGCTTGCCAGGGACAGCAACACAGGGAATGCGTCCTTGACATCCTTACTGGGAGCTTCCACGGCAATCCCTTCGGTGCTGCCCTCCTGTCAACAGCTGGTGTGAAGGAAAGCCAAGTTTCGACACGATCGATGCCATGCCTCGATCGGTCGCAGGACTTCGGCCCCGCCAATATGGGTTGGCAGAAATCGGCTTCCAACCTTGCCATTTTAGTTTTCAGATCAAACTCACCATACCTGGCTCAAACTAACTCCATGTGCAATCGCTGCAAGCAGAGAATGGTGCAGGGAGAAGTTTTGTCGAGCTGCCTGTATCCAGCAGCCTCCATACGGGGTGCCCTGACACAGGTCAGCAGGCAGCTGAGGCCAAATTGTCATGCACGGAAAGCGAGGGACAATGCGCCTGGATCCGGGACCCAAACAAAGCAACCTGTGACTAAAAAGCACTCATGACAGATGCTACAAGGGAAGCTGCGAGGAGGGTCTGTCAGCACACTATCGCTACTACTGGAACCTTGCTGTGCTTGTCCCCCAAGTCGGGCGAGCATCGGTATCTGCCATTTGTCTTCGGATGGTGGGGGCTGTTGTGTCGCACGTGCCCGGCAGAACAGCATGAACAAAGCTGACACAAGCTGCCTGATGCCATTGCTCTTGGAGCGGAGCTGCAGGTTGTCGACCACGAACAGCTGCTTCTGCGGCGCAGCCTTGCAATGTGTGCGCAGGGAAAGTGCGTCAAGCGATTCAGTCGGAATTGGAGGCGAGATGAAGGCGGCAGTTTCGGTCAACGGAGCCTTTCTCGCAATGTGATGCACGGCATGGGTGGGGTGTGGGTGACCTCGACATGCTAAGCACCCTTTCGGCATTGAAAAAAAGCAGTGTGCCGAGGTAGGTGGGCAGTGGCAATTGCTGGGTAGGGGTGCCATGGACAACGCCCTGTTTACGCACACACTAATGATACAATCTTCGAATATGCAAACATACCAAAGTACTAAAATACGAAATGCTCATTCATGTACTATTCTGCGAATATACTAGTGGAATAAAAGTTATAATTGCAAAAATGATAATAATAATAATAGTAGTAATAATAATGATAACAAAAAAGTCGCAAAACAAGAAAAATAAAAACAATAAGAAGAAGAAGAATACCAAAGTACTAATAGTAATAGTAAAAATAATAATCATAACAATAACAAAACTAAGAATAAGAATAAGAATAAGAATAAGAATAACAATGATAGGAGCTCCAAGCATCAGGCCTTTACCGGTTCCTCTTTGGGAGCCTCAGCCGCACGGCCCTGGGCCCAGGACGAGAACCGGCCCATGGCAAAGGACAGCGCAGGAATGTACAAAGTCTACCCTAAACCCTAAAAACCCTAAAAACCCTAAAAACCCTAAAAGCCCTAAAAACCCTAAAAACCCTGTAAACCCTATAAACCCTATAAACCCTATAAACCCTACAAACCCTATAAACCCTATAAACCCTAAACCCTACCGTCTAGTCTAGCGCCCTGGGTGCTGCAATACTTTATGAAGTTGGTTGGGGTGCTGGTTGGAGGCCTAAGGTCAGCCTTATAAAACCGGGGGAGGGGGGGCTTATCTACAGCAACTTCGGAGTATCCTCTGCGTCTGACTTTGAAGATGATTTCCGAAGCACCATAGGCATGCTGTCGGGCATGGTGTGGCCACCGTTAAAATCCTCCTTGAGCTGGCAGAAGACGTGGCAACGCGAGTGAAGCGCACATTCGATCGGACCGCAAGAAAGAAGCGCAAAGGCCGTTTCGGACCTTCGGGGCCACTCCAACAACCGAAGGTCCAGAGCGCGTTGCTTTTGCTTACCGCAATTGTCCCATGAACTCCCCGTGGCAGCGGCAGCAAAACCCAAACACATGCAATGCCGCGTGCCTTCTCGATCATCTCTGTTGCCCAAGGCCCGGCCTGTACGCTGTTCCCTTGAGCTACGCTCCGACAAGGTTTTCAGAGCTTCGGAAACAAAAAGCAAAGAAGAAGGGGGCGGGGGGGGGGCGAATCAGCCACGAAGCCGCTCTCAGAGGTGTCTTCGCAAAGTGGCGCGAGGCGCAGAGCATCATGCGTAACAGGTTGATCTTTTAAGCGGATTCGGCAGGACACTGGACTCAATCGTTTGCGTGCGGAGGCATCCGCAGTCAATCTTGCGAGGCGTGTAAGCCAATCAGACTGCTTGAGGCCAGAGGGGCTATTGTACAGCGAGGCAATGCAAGTCTTTAAGAGAGAGAACAGACCTTCAAACACTACTTCTTAATCTTCTGCAGCTGGCCGGTGGGCTGGAGATTCCTCCTTCTCTCCCAAAGACCCAATGCACGTCTGGCACTGTGATAGGACCCTGCAGCCGGGGAAACGATATGTCATCCGTGACTGTGATGTACATGCCGGTGCACCGGGGAAGGAGGATGACTGTAAAGGTCTTTTGTGCAGAAGTATCTCATGAGTGGATGATAGCATGTCTGATGCGGAACTTCAGCCTGCCAATTAAGACTGCAGGAGTGCGCCTGATTGTGCCCAAAGGCTTCTCAATGCCTGTCATGCTGGCTAGGGAACCCAGGCCGTGGACCGTTTCTCTAGGCCAAATCCGGAAACTCACTTTGCGGATCTGGCCAACGCTTAATTTGTGACTGCTGTTTCACAGCAGAGGCTGGGGACTAGGTGACTAACCAGGCGCCCAGCTGTCAGGGCAAGGCATTGACCGAATGTTCCCTCCAAGGGGCAGTCTTGTGGGCTCTGGCACATTCCAGCATTGTGCATTTCTGTGATTTCAGATAGCAAAGGAGTGCCTGAGCCCTAGCATCAACCTTCCAGGTTTCCAGGAAGGGGAATTCAACGCAAGATTGCCCGCTGGGGAATGGGTGAAGACGAGCCGATGCTTCCTCCCAACCGTCTAACTTCATCTAACACCAGGTCGCAGATCACCTCACCCTTCGACCGTCACATACGCTGTCAAACACCCATCACCTGAAAAGCATGATCTGCTTGCCAAACTTGTCGCTCACGGCACCTTTTGGTACATGTTGCCGTAGTCCTGCAAACTGCGTACATTGCACAGCTAAGATCAGCTTAAGGCTGCCTTGCCAACCGAAGGTTGTCTCACATTCTGTCCCTGTGCGAGGTAGTGTAGAGGCATTTGGCGTGAGCCTGACATCAGGCCATGATGCGCACGCCAGTGGAGTTCAAGGCTTAGTCGCCCATGCCTCGCTCCGGCGCTCTGGGGTGGACGTGCGACGCAGCGCATGTGGACTGGGCACCTCGCACTGTGATGAGCAGCGCAGCTACGCACAAAGATCAAATGTCCTGCATGCTGACAGATGTGTCTGCTTGGCAAGGCCTGTAGGTGACCATTTTGTTCTGAGCTCATCGCTCCAGCACAGGGGGGGTGCTCTCGCAGCGTATACGCGCGCCCGTAGTCCTGGCCGGCTCCAACACACAGCACAACTCTGCACACGGTCATACACGTGCCATGACATGTCTCAGTAGGTCGACTTCGTAACATGCCAGAGAGGCTGTTGAAGTCGTCCGCTCCTCACCAACAAGTCCGTGTCACAACATCTTGCAGTCTTGCAGTACTAACAGCATCCTGAAAGCAAAGCAAGCAAAAAGTAGTTCACGTAAGAAGAACCAATACCAGATGACGATGTTCTTGGCTATCTTGACGTAGCGCTGTATCATGCTTGCTGCCAGTTGATACAGGTAGACGGAGAGCATTTTGGCCGGGGCTAAGGTCACAGCATGCGTATAACATGCGTGAAGTACGGATCAACTTTACGAGGCGAGCAAATATGGATTGCAACACTCAAGAACTGCACCAACAACAAGCTAAGCGTGAAGAGCCCTGACAGTGGCGTGCATGCCCATGGATGCCGTACCTAGCACCTACTGAAACATCCCTACGAGTACCCGCAGCTGCCCACCTGGCGTAGGCTCATCCGACCTGAGGATGGCCCAGTGTTTGACAGCGCACTTGCTGAACTTCTTAATTACTGAACCATTGCCCTTCCACGCCGTGCAGCTGTCTGGCCCTCAATCTACCCCTCCTGCCTGCGCTGCGGAAATGAAGGCCCCAAAGGCCCCACAAGGTGCATTGCCCACATCGAAACTCTGGATGGATTTGGACCTTCTTATACCTTCGCCCTTGCAGCCCTCCGGGCCCCCAGCCACTGGGTAAAGCTTGGCTCCCACGGTGTAGCGAGAGGTTCTCCGCGCGGGGCGGCCTCGGCAAAGACTCGACATATCTCGGCCAAATTCTGACAACAACTTGACGACTACTTGGAGGTTCATGGTACTTATTAAACAATAAGTATAACTGTACTCACTTCCAAGCCCCTTAAGTTCCAATATGGTTTTTAGTACCCAAGTAGTACCTCTGAAGCTTTAGAAACCCTGAGCCCCTGCGATTAGAGGCAGACGGTTGCTGCTTCCGTGATGCGTCAAGGGAGTCATCCCTTGATTCACCGTGATGTGAGGAAGATGCCGGACTACCGGGTCAGAGTCGAAGCATTCTCCCATTGTGACTCTTTTGCTCCTGAAAGGTCTCCGGAAAAAACTCGAACCTGCGAACCTCGTGTAACAACTGGACAACTAGATAGATGTTAAGACACGAAAAGGAGCATCGTTCAATCTCTGGCCCACACGCTGAAGGGCCCTGCCATCTCGAAGGGCGGCGCTCCTGAGACCAGTGGTACGTGGTGCGCATGGGTTTTTGGATTCCACAGCCTTGCGCGCAGCTCTCTCTTTGTGATGTTGCATGCCTGTGTGTGCTTGAAAGTTTCTTGAATATGCTTGATACCCCCTTTGCAAGACTTAAGACTTGCCAGTTCGTTAATGATCCAAGGTGTTTTTGGCATCCTGAGTCCAGCAGTTGCTGGCTCGTCCCGCCATACCATCAGCACAAGGCCTGCACAAGCGAGCTGCGTGGGGCTGCGATGCGATGTGCAGTAGCTGTGGAACTCCTGCCACTAGAGATCACATGAGATGCAGGCCAGGCCCTCTTGCCTGCTCGGCGCCTCCCTGCGATGCCTGGACCGGTAGCGCGGTGAGAGCTGCGAATGTGCGATAGTCAGTTGGCAACTGGATGCTGGGGATGTATGTCCGCAAGGAGGCGTGCAGAGGCCCCAAACCCGAAACCCTTTGGCAGAACTCCAAACTTGTCGGATGGAACGACGGAACTGACAAGCTTGCCCATCGATGCCTTTTGTCTGGAGCTTGAATGAACATGTCCTCCAAAGTGTTGGATGTCGAAGTAACCTGACATGATCCAATGACAGCTTGCTTTGTTGGGAAGCCCAGCACAACCGCCTTGCTTGCCGGGTACGCTGCAAAATGGCGAAAGCTGCATTACGAGTATTCGGTGCGCAGCATTCGGCAAACGTGCCTCTCTAGGACTATGGGGTCTGGGCCTTCGTGTTCCTTTTAGTAGGATCCTTTGAACTAGGATCCCTTTACAGCACCCGGACTGCTTGAAACATGCTTCTCTCCGTCCGTCATTCCTGGGAGCTCGGCGCCCGCCGGGCGGTCGCTGAAGCGGGCAGCCACCTTCAATGCCCCACTCCCCGAAGACAGGAGGTTGTCCGACTTTCCATCACTCTTCCCTAACAGCTTTCGTGAACTTTCGAGGGGCCTCCGGAGCTACGCTCGATCTATCGACAAGCTCCAAGTCTCGACGAGATCTGTCAACAGCCTTTTCGCTGACTACTCTCTACCTGCTATGAGAATACCTGCTTACAGCATCGCGGCCGCGTGAGAGTTCTCTGAGGTTCTGGAGGTTTATGCAAACGTCATCGGGGTGGATGAAAGCACAAACCTGGACGACAATGATCTATCTTGTTCTAGACTGCAGTATGGCACTGTCATTGAAACCGTTGCTTGCAAGGTTGCCTGCAGTTGCCCCAACTCATCAACTTGAATCATCTGCCCATCAGCTTTCATCAACTTCCCCCCCCTTCCTTGGCTCCCCTGCTCTTGCAGCGATGCTTGCAGTTGTGGCCTTTGCCTCAGCAAGGCCTGGGCCTCGCAAAGAAGGACATGTGCCCTTTGAGCCCCCTTTTTGGCCGCTCGTCTCACACATCCTTGCGGTCATCCCCTTTTGGGTGCTGAGCTGATTGAACTGAGGATCCCTGGCCTGCTTCACCTCGGCTGGAGATGTCGGAGGCCCCTGCTCAGGTCCACGCTGCGACGCTCTAAACCAATTGGGCCATCGCACATCACACTGAGCTGTTGCCAGCCGTGGGCAGCAAGCACAGGAAGAAAGAGTACTATACTCAGTGCAAGCGCAACGCTCACGAACCAGCACGAAGAA